ACCACTTCATCTCCCTTGGCCTTCTTTTTGCTGATCCAGGAGCGAACGGCCACAGGATCGAGATTGACTTCTCTTCGCTTGCATATCCGAGCAATGATGGAGCGCGAGTCGCCGTCGTCGGCAATGCCAAATTTCTGATTGATTCCGATTTTCCGGCCGTAGGCAGCAAGATAGCGTCGAGCTATGCTGTGGAAGTTGCCCAGAACAATCTTCTTCTCCCTACCATCTCCGAGAGCCTTTCCGATACGCTCCTTCATTTCCCGTGCAGCCTTGACGGTAAAGGTCGCGACGACGACATCCTCGGGTCGGTATCCGACTTGATCGATGAGCCATACCACTCGAGAGGTCAGAGTGTGCGTCTTGCCGCTGCCGGGTCCAGCAAGGATGGCGACAGTAGCGGCATCTGAACTTACGGCTCGGCGTTGGGCATCATTGAGGCTGTTGAGGATGGGGTGGTTTGCTAATGGTGGAGGCATGTGCTGCAGTGAATTTTTGGATGACAAGGAAGGCGATGAAATGTCCTCCAATTGGTGCAATTGATGAGATTTTACAGTTTGGCCATTTGAGGAAAGAAAGTTGGTGCAATTATTAGGCTTCGAGATACAGAAGACGCGTTGATACAAAACAGAGAGCGTGTGTCGAGGTGGGGCAGTCGCGGAAGCACGTGAAGGCAGTCCACCAATCTCTTGCTTACCTATGGGTGATGGCACAAAGGGTTAGGGTTAACAGAGCAGGAGTGAAACCTCTCCTCGGAAAGCATTTGGCAGCTGCTAACACTGACATACTCGTGGCAAGCAATCAATCTGTCGGAAGCGTGGTCGATCCGTTCATGCGCCGAGAGGTGCCCACCGGCGGGCGGCACACTCAGTGACACCTGTTCTGTCACTTTATGCCCTGTGCGTGACGGGATGTGATGTTTATTCAGAGAACGGACCGAATCCACTGCTTTTCAGTGATCAGAGGCTGATCACCGATATCAGAGGTTAATATCACAGCGAGCTAGCACAGGCGCAACTTGGCTATCAAGGGGGAAATGTGAAAGTTGACGCTGCAAGTGGTGGCCCATCCTGCATTTTGGGAAACGCTACTGCAGCACCAGTTGAGGTGAACTCGCTCTCGCATGAGAATCACCAAAAAAAAACCTCTTATTCTAGCACACACCAGCGCTCTCATGGCCTGTGAGGTCTCTCATCACAGCCCAATGGCAGTGGGAGGGTGATGGGAGATGCGGGGTGGATCCCTTGACAGCCAATCAGCAGGCCAGACTTAGCGCGAGCGTCGGCTCGCTCATGCAAGTGGTTGGGCAAGACATCAACGGGAGTTGAATACAGCAACCAATCGAGGGCCTCACCGTGAGATGGATCCAATGCAGGTCCAGAGTCGGCATGGGCTGCCCCCCCGCCTCCCCATGTCGGTTCCGTTGACTCTCGTCGCAACAGGCGCTGCTATATACCGTGATTGCTGCCATTTGCACCTCCTCTTTGTCCATCTCAATCACAAAGTGTTTCGGCATGGCGGATACTACGAGGCAGCCGTAAGTAAGACAGACCCTTTGGACGACACCACCAACTGTCTATCGCCACCCGTGGCCTCGGATTGGACCTCCCCCGACCCTCCCCCGACCCTCTCCCACCCCCATCATCATGCTGTCAGCTGGTGTGTCTTCATATAACAAAGCTGCCTTCGCTCTTCTCTTTGCGACGACATCTTGGCCTTCTTTTTGCGCTGCCTTGCCTTCTATTCAACAATTGCTTCGTCGAGGTGACCTGTGGCTCGACTATTCCTCTCCCACTCCTTCCCCCGAAGACGGACCTCCGCTATCCGCCAACGCCGTCCGGGACCCGGCCTACCTCCCAATCCATATAGGTGCCATTGTGGGAGCGTATGGTTTTGCGTTGGTGATTGTAGCTATCCTGTTGCTGGCTCTCCTCAAGACCAGACGAACACATATCAGGAACGGTGAATTACCCGAGGAGGAGAGGGGACTACTGGCTTTCAACCCGTTCACACAACAATTCCTGTCCGAAGAGGAATACAAGAAACAACTCGAGCAATACCAACTTCAGGCCGGACAATACCAGGCCGGGCAACAACATCCTCAGCAGTTCCAGCAAGAACAATTCCAGCCAGAGCAGCAACAGCAGTACCTTGGTCACAACCTAGGGCAGAAGCTCTCTCTCCAGACAGACCTCCCGGCGCACACAAGAAACTATTCTCTTCCTTCGGCTTCGCCCTTGACAGCAAGAGACAGACTCGGCGGCCCACTCAGCCCAGCCAAGTCACAATTCTCCATCGCAACAGCACACTCGCCGACTTCGACGATCCTTGCTTGCGGCATCGACCTCTCGGTTGACCAGACAGTCGTCGGTCGGGACAGAGCCATGGCGCAAAATCAGCTAGAAGAGATGTACAGGCATGTGATGGAGCAGGAAAGAGCCAAAGCGGAGGGTAGGGCATATGAGCCTCCTCCAATGCTCACCTCGCCATCCACCAAGTCCGTCAACACCATGCCGCCCACCCCCGGAAGCACCAAAAGAGAGAGGAACAAACCTTCCAACCTCAACCTCGCCCAGGACACCAAGAAGGAATCCCGAAGCTCATCACTTCTCAACTTTCTCAAGTCTCCAAGGAAGAACAAAGTCCAAGGCTCAGGAATGGTTATCTCCTCCCCCATCTTGACCCCAATGTCAGGCACCTTCCCTCGCCAAGAGGAGCAAGAACTGAACACCATCCCACCCCGTCACTACGCTCCCCTAGCCCCTCCCCCATTGCCACAAGGAAGCTCCTCCGACCTCCCCTTCCGCCGCAACAACCACGCCGGCTCTTCTAGCCAACATCTCCCCACCCCAGACATCTCCCCCGTCTCCACCCAATCAATCGACTCTCGCATCGACGCCGCCGTCGCCGCCCCCCGTCATCATCAACGCGACAACTCCAACGAAGAACCCCCCTCGGCCACCTCCTCCACCTCGGGCCTGGTTGGCCTCCCCACCTCCCCCAAACCAGGCGTCAACCGCTTCCCCTCAATGGACTCCCTCCCTGCCTCTCCCCGTCCAGGACAAACATCCTTTAACCGACCCAACCCGCCTTCTGCCGTTCGCGCGGGTGGTGCCCTGCCTTTTAGAGCCTACGAGCCAGCAGTGACTAGTCCTTCTGCTGCGTCGTTTGGCACGACGAAGCAGACTGTTTTCACGAGGCCGGACAGGGATAATGGGTTGCCGACGGGGCAGAGGACGCCATGGACGGGGGCGCCGGTGCCTTATACGCCTTATCAGCCGTTTAGCCCGGTGATTCCGGTTACGCCGAGTTTGTTGAGTAAGAAGGAGAGGAAGATGATGAGGAAGTTGGAGCCGAAGACACCGACGCTGGAGATGGTTCGGGATACGGATGATGTTTGGTAAATAGTTGAGGTGACGGTGTGATGTTGCGTGATGTGTTGGGTGTTGTTCAATCTTCTTCGTAGATATCCCGTGTTTTGTCTTTTTTTATATTTTTTTTTTAGCTTTGATTGGTGTGTGTACCTGGCTGTTTTCTTTTGTTGCATTGATGGAGTGGATGGGGCGGTTGGCTATAATGGGAGGACGGGTTAGTTAGCCTGGAAAACTCATTTTCTCTTTCTTTTACCGTTGGTTTTTGTGTAGGAAGTGGTCAGTATTGATATCCATGACGAGCGAGCGAGAATGAATTCAGTTCGTTGGCTTGGGCCCGTCTAGAAACGTTGGACGCCAATTTCTTGTATTGGGAACACCATATAGCTTCATGCGAGTATCTGGGAAATATGTATGACAGATATGATGAAACCTATCGGCTCCTTGGTGAGTGATGCCTGCGGGCATTGTGTGGTGATGTTTCAGAATGCGGTGATACTGAAAGGGTTGTGCTGGGCTGCTTCAGATGCTTCGCTGGCAGGCCCCTCGCTCGTTCACGTGCTTCTCCAGTGGATAACAGGGGTCCTTCTCGTCATCAGAAATCCCGTCGTTCAAAGGCAAGCTGGAAGGAGGTAGGGATTCCATATCAAAAAGGCTCAAAGTGCCATCGATCAGACGCAACGGAATTCTGGCGGCAAACCCGACCTTGGGCCGATGTGTTCGCAATGGTCCTGAGCCTACGGTCACCATTCGCCAGACCCCGCATCCGCCTGCATCTGCATCCGACGAAACCTTGGGTTGGAAGCTTGGAACCAAGAAAACGGAGAGCTATTGCTATAAGGCCCTCTCCACTTGATCCAAACAAAACTTGGAAGAAAAACAGGATTTCCGACTCTTTTCTATCCACTCAGGCCAAGTCGATTGAGTGGGATAAATTACTAAGAGTTAAGTCTGTGTGCCTCTCGTCAGTCCCACAGCTGGTGGTCGCACTGATTCAGATAGCGAGAGAGGCAGATGAGAGATGGCAATCGGGCTGCGTCTTTGTCTCGTGTTCGTGATGTCGGTTGAGTCGACTGTGGCTCTTTTTTTGGCCGCCCGAAAGAAGCGACGCCTTCCTCTGCATGCTCGTCGAAATAAACTTTTCTTCTAGACGGGTCCGTACAGATATCTTCAAACTACTGTGCCCGACGAAGAAGTGGTTGAAGATGGCAAATTCAGCTTTCTGAGGCTAGCGAGGTGGGGTTGTTAGTAACGTGGCCCGTGCTTCTGTGCTGAAAGGGGGCCGCTGAGTTCCGGGCGGGAATCATTCGATTCTCTCAATCGCATCGTATGTTTTTTAAACCCACATTCCCTTCCCATCGACAATCGAGAACAGCCTCCGCAGCCATCAGCAGGCCAGGAACGCGGTCAGCACTCCCCCGATACCGAATTACTCACTCTACGCCGCGCGACACCTCCGCGCGCAATTGGTTGTCGGCATCTGCCCCGGCCGCCCAGTCTCGCCAGTCGGCCCACGACCCAGACTCGCTGTCACTGACCTGCGGCACACGCACACTGCCGGCCAGAGAGAGAGAGAGAGAGGTCTCGCAAGCCCAGGGAGTTCAGGGCTCTGACCCTCACAAAAAAGGAACAATGACCGACCCCGACGCCGACTCGCCCGTGCTCTTTGCCGACCTGGACACCTTCGACCTCGATGGCAGCCTTACTGGCAACTTGGTGAATAGTGGCCTCGGCACTCCGGATCCCAACAACAACACCACCGCCGCAACCGTTGCCTCCTCCCAACCAGGTGACACGCTTGCTGCCACGCCTGGGTCCGGCCCCAGTGGGACTCCTGTATCAGTCTCGCCTTCCATTACCAACACCCACGCCCATCCACACGCCCACCCACACCACCTCCAAACCACCCAACCCGAACAGCAGCAATTTTTCAACCCAGTGCCCTCCTGGAACTTCCAGGATACACCCCCCTACGACCTCAACGCCGGTGACAATCAGTTTACTGTTCCTCCTGTACCCCATACCTGGGATCTCCCGGTCCACGTCAACCTGGGCCAACCAGTGCTGCATCAGCATCAGCAGCAGCAGCCACAGCATCAGCCCTTGTATCTCCAGTCTCCTGCTGCCTCCAGCATCGATCCGGCCTTTGATCACACTACCGCCGCCGCCGATCCGGCCAACATCTCGCTATCACAGGCTCAGGCCCACTCCTTCTCGAACGACCAATTTCGACCTGACAATCGCAACATCCAGAATACACTGACCCCTGCTCAGCAGGAGCGGCTCAAGAGCATCGCCATGCCGCCTCACCTTCAGTATCACTCCCCCAATAGTGCCGGGAGCCCCGACTCGAGCGTCAGCGCCGATAAGGGTGCTGGCTCGTCCCCAGATGCCCAAGGCAACTCCAAGTCCAACAGTAGAAAGAGGAAGTCGTCGGCCGAGGTCGACGACGATGACGATGATGATGAACTCGACGGACAGCACCCCGTCAAGAAGACGGCACACAACATGATCGAAAAGCGGTACCGGACCAATCTCAATGACAAGATAGCAGCTCTGCGAGATAGTGTCCCATCACTGAGGATCATGTCGAAAAGTGCTCGTGGTGAAGACACCACTGAAGATAGGGAGGAGCTACACGGCTTGACTCCTGCCCATAAGCTCAACAAGGCCACTGTATGTCCGACCTATGTCGTCGTCCAGAACAAATCTAGACTTTATACTGACTATCAATCTAGGTCCTTGCCAAGGCTACCGAGTATATCAGACACTTGGAAAAGCGGAACAATCGCCTCATTGACGAGAACAGTAGTATGCAGGCGAGGATCGCTGCTTTCGAAAAGTTGTTCATGGCTGGCGCCATGACTGGTCAATTACCCAATCCTCTCCAACAACCGCCCACACCGGTACAGTATCCTCAAGATGCTATGCCCTACATGAATACGCCAGTAGCAACCACAAGAGGACCAGACCCAGCGGGTATGATTCCGATCCCCGACGACATCAAACGCATCTTGGCTTCACAGCAGATGAATGCAGGACGCCCTTATCCAGTGCCAGGTCAACAGTTCCAGCAAAACCCTGCCATGATCCGCCAGCAACAGCTTCAGCAGCAGCAACAGCAAACTCAATCCAGCAGATGGAACCCATATCTTGGAAAGCTGATGGTGGGATCACTGGCTGGCTTGATGTTGGTCGAAGCCTACGTCGAAAAGGAACAAAACCCCGAGACCACCGAGGGTCGTGGCTTGATGGGCGTTCCAGTGCATCTCTTGGCATCCTTCATCCGATCAACTCACTTCAGCATTGGGGGCTACTACGTCTCTGCAAGCCAGATTCTATCCCAGCTCAGATTTTTCGGATTGCTGGCGGCTTTCCTCTGGGCTACCTGCGCGTCCTTATTCAATATTGATATCTTCAAGCCATCCGAGAAGCCCAAGCATGCTACCTCGGCTCCTCAAGCGGTGCCATCTCTTGCATCGCCTATTCACGTCAGGAGGCAAGCCTGGCTCACCGCTATCCAGACCGTCTGGGTACCCCAGCACAACTTTGTCCTGGAAGCCGCCGCGCTGGTCCTAAAGTCGTCCAAGTACGCCCTCAGGAATGTGATCGGACCTCGTGGTTATCTCATGCTTGTCGGCCTCAGCGAAGAGCAAGAAGCTGCGCGGGTCAAAGCATGGTCAATTGCGTTGGATGCCCAGCTCGCCGGTGGTGACGTCGAGATTAATAAGAGCCGTCTCACGCTCACCTTGATCGCTTCGGGCACTTTGCCGGATACTCCGCTTCGTCTCATGATGAAGGCGCTGCACATCCGGGTATTGCTTTGGAGACTCGATGGGGCTTCTTGGATCACCAACTTGGTGGCTGCCAAACTTGCCAGGGCGCGTTGGAACGACGCACGCGAACTCAACCGCATTCTCAACTCACTCGGCGAGAACAACAAGTCTGCTGACGAAATGCTCCCTGAGCATCTGGCAGTGCTTCTCGAACAGGACTGTGATGAGGTGCTCAATGACGATATTATTCAGAGAGCCCACAACCTGGCCTGGAACCAGCCCACCACACACAACGTTGATGAAATCATTGATGGTATGGACGCCGTGGTTGAGGATGCTGCCGTTAGGTCGCCCATGGATGCCGTTGCGGCCTGGTACTCCAGCCTGCAGCTTCACCATGTTCTGTGCAACAATCTGCCCAAGACCCGTGATGAGTCCGGAAGACTGGCTCTCGAGACTGAAGACAAGCTTAACCTGGCGACCAAGGTTGCCCCCATTGGTTCCAACGCTCACGTTCGCGTCTTGGTCGCTCGTGCGGTCCTCGGTGAGCAGAAGCGTGGTGCTGCCATCGTCACTGCTATGAATGCCCTCGGCCCGTCTCTGAACCCTGACAAGCACCCCAACTACAGCAGGGGTGTGCCGCCTCTTATCGACTCTCCTGTCACCCCTATCACTCCTGACCCCGACGCCCAGATGGCTCTTCGCTGCGCCATGGGTATTGCTCAGCTGCAAAGGTTCTCCGATCCTCCTCCAGCCGCTTTTACCGTCATCGACTCCATCCTTCCCGCTGGTGCCGACATTGAGGGCATGTCTCTATTGGGTTACACCGCTGCTTACCACCTGATGGAGCGCCTCCACAGACACGCCGTCGGCCGGGAAACTTGCTCGCGTTCTCTTGAGAGGCTTGCTGGCAGTTTGAGAATATGGATTGGCAGCGAGGCGGGCAACGAGGTGGGCTTTGATGGGCCGATGAGACAAAAGATGATTGATAGGTGCTTGGCTATTACGAAGAGCGTGGTGGGTATGGAGGCTGACCCTGGGTACGCAAGCATGGAAGAAGAGTGCACTGAGGATACGGCGGGTGGTGGATGCTGAATTTTTTGCTAGTGATTGTTTTGGAGTTTTTAGTTTTTGTGACAAAGGTTTTGAGCGATGGGTTGTTTTTTTCATGGTCTGTTTTTGCTATGCTATATCATGTCTGACCAGAGGCTCTCAGTTGCCGTATATTCTTCTTTATCTCGATGCGATTGCGTTTGGCGCATGATACCTCTACTCCTTGCTTTTTTCCTTTTCCTTTTATAGGTTTATATAGTGTACGTTGGAAGGGGGTTGGGATGATGGAATGAGTGGAAGTGAAGCGATGATAGCATGGGAAGAGGAGGAATGAATGAATGGATGGGGTGTTTAATGGGGATGGCGTATAAGTGGGGAAGTTATTTTCTTTTGGTTTTTGTTATAGTTTACCGTGGGTGGAGGGAAAAGAATCGGTTATGATTTGTATAGTGGCTTTTTTTCATGTCTGTTAGAGACGATTAGCCAAGGAGTAGGGTGTTAAAGGGGGGATTTCGAAGAGAAGAAAGAGAGAGAGGGGTAATATTGATTTGCTCTGATTTTGTCTTGAACTGATGGAAAACTAAGAATTGCTTGCGTGTGATATCCTGATTTTCTTTGATGTGCAAGAGTGGTATCTTGCATGGAATATACACTGGTACACCAAAATCTCTCACTGATGCATTTAGTTCATGCCTTGGACCCCTCGTGCTGTGATACAACGGATATTGCATGAGAAGAATGCCCTGGGTGATGTGCCACGGGGGGTAGAATCGATAAGATGGTTTCATCGTTGCAGTTTGTTCATATAAAAGTTCGGTGAAGGCGGTGATCAGCGGGATGGGCAGCCTTGTCCGAGGCCAAACACTAGCCCTGCGATTCGCCTGTTGTCTTCACTGTCGGCTGGCCGCATATTCCTGAGCCCTCTATGATGGCTTCAAAGGCAGTGGTTGGCTTCAGAACGACACTGCCAGGGGCGCAGTACCTGAGCCCTTTTTTTCTTCATTTTTATTGACGGGCTTGAATACCTAGGTAGGTAGGTAATATATCAGGTATCAAACATGCGGGAGGGAGGACGAAGCTGGGGGTTAGGGGACCATGAGGTTATCAACGAAAACTGATCAAACATGTGTTTTAACGCAGCCAGGTGAGCATACATGGCATCGATCAGAGTATGCGTTCAGATATATAGATGTTCCTTGAGACAAGGTCCTAAGCATAAGCCGCCTTGATCCCGCTATTCTTTAACCATCACTACCTTGAGCTTTGAAGACTTTTATTGTTCATCGGCCCTTGGACAGCGATCCGGCTGTCATGGCACATCAACAGAGGGCAGAGGTTGCGGTTCATGCGATTACAGGCACCCCTGGAACCTTCCCTGACAATACACCTGACCGCAGCTCCACCGACAGACCGAGAATTCTCGCCGATGACCTTTCACAATTACCAGATAGCCTCAGAACTCCTTCATGTCCCGGCAGTCTTCTTCAGCCTTGAGTGAGCTCTCGACCCGAGAGGCCGATCCGAGTTTGAGTCCTAACTTGGCGCAAGATGCTCACCCAACCGAACTGTTGGGTGAAGACGACTCCGGCGATCAGACTTCTGTCCCGGGTCCCTGAAAGTAGCGAGACGCTGAGCCCCAGGTCAAGCAGCATTGAAATCGATATTTCCCTTGACGAACCGCCACCGACTGGTCAACATACAAATAGGACCCTTTGGAAAGTCTGGGCCGTTGAGATCGTGTGTATGATTGTCGGCTTTGCGTCATTCATTGGTATGTTGAAGTTCCATATTTATGTGTACCGAGGCAAATGCTAACATCTTACTTAATTCTCTTAGCAATCGTGATTGTCCTTGCCACTTTCGACCAACAACAGCTTCCAAACTGGCCCCTTAAAGTCTCACTCAATACGTTCCTCGCATTCCTGACTATTGTCGCGAAAGCAGCCTTTATGTTCCCGGACTCGGTAGCTATCAGCCAAACCTCATGGAGCTGGTTCTCACACAGTCGACCACTTTACGACTTTCACCTCATTGACCAAGCAAGTAAGGGACCCCTGGGGTCCGCTCAACTTGCCTTTCGAATGCGCCACAAGCATTTCATCACTCTAGGCGCTCTTCTCAGTATAGTCAGCGTCATTACCTCCCCCATTACACAACTTGCCATTAGCTATCCCTTACGAACGGTTGTAGGTACAGAAGAGGCTTTGGTCTCAGCGTTACAAAGTCTGAACCACCTGACGGATGACCCGGGCCACACAACAAGCAATGCGGTGGTGGAAGCTTCAAAGAGATGCCAATACCGTACGGAGGACTTTGCCCGACAGGAAATTGCACCTTTGATCTTTACTCTTCTCTTGTTGTCTGTATTAAAATGGCAGATGTCACTCCACATCTCATCATCCATGAATTTCAGGCACCAGGACCTGACCAAACTCCGATGGTGATAGTCAACAGGACGATCGGTTTGGGAATAGGGACTGAAGCGTTTGCGGGAGCTACACTTTGGAATGTATCAATTCCGGACAATCCTACCTCTTCGGTACATCAAAGCCGTTTCGCAGCCGCCGTGGGGTTATTGAACGGCCAATACAGCCTCGCTTTCCGAGATGATAAAAGCCTCATGCAAACCAGAATCGCCAGTTTCGTGCTCATACACACTGCCCCGGTTATTGAGGACGAAAGCCACCGATTAGAAATTCTCCAGGCGACAGATGGCGGGCCGGAGCTTGCAAATACCTTCCGGGACATCGAGCACGGAGCTTTCGAGGTCATATTCCACCTCTGCGTTCAAACATGCAACACCGCTGTACAACACGGTGTGGCAAGCACAGCATTAGTTAATGCACTGGCTAAGCCTGTTCCCAATCAAGATCCGGATTTCTCTGTGCAAATGAACTGCACTACACCCCTCGAATATATGGTTTTCTGTCATCATGGAGATGAAACAAAATGGAATACAACGATAACCCTTCAAGGCCCGACAGAGAGGCAACGGCTTTACAGCTCAGACCTCGGTTTAATGGAGAGTATTGCAGCAGAGATGAACTTTAATCTTGCTGGCGTGGGAAGAGATGACTTTTACATGAAGGATCGGGGGGAAGAGGCTTTAGAACCGTCAGTATACATCAACGGTGTTACATTCCCAAACCTATTTTACTACGGTTTATATACGGTGGAAAAATTGACCAATGCGACGAGACGCCATAGTCAGATATTCAACATGTACCACAACATTGCCTCGGCCATCTCGTACAGGTAAAGGCCAAAGACCTCCCTATATGTCTCCCATCACTGGTTTTTCTCAAGCTAATGCCTTCCATATACAGGCTCCGCGACGCAACTCCTGACCTCAAAGCCGCCCGAAGTGCCTTCAATATAACGGGCAAGGCCTTCAAGGATGAGTCCTACGTCGACATCACCTGGGGCTGGATCAGCTTTCTCGCTATTGAGCTCCTACTAGCCACAATATTGCTTCTTTTGACAAACACACTCAATTCAGAGGCGCAGACGGCATGCAAAGGATGATACAGCCACGCCCATGTTCCACGACTACAAGGATGGCAGGCTAATTAGCTAGCTTGGAACAAAATGATGGTATCTCGGTGCTTACATCATATTGTTTGTACTGAAAATTGAGTAATGTTTATTTATGGCTGCCTTATTTACCTATCGACTTTTTTGTTTGCTGCGCCCCTGAACGTCTGAACGGCCGGCCCACTCGATCAAACACCGGCAACAAACCCCGACGCCATCACCGACCCACCCTTCAAATAGTGGGAATTCTGAGAGCAAGACAACAAACGGCTTTTCTGCTGAGTTCATCTGTTTCCGTAGCCGGGGGGCTACAGCATAAAAGCCTGGGATCACAAAGCCAAGTTCATCCTCTCTACCTTACCCAGTGCCCAACACCACCTCGCTCGCTGGCTGGGTAAGTAGTAACATAGGGAAAAAATAAAACTCACACATATACCTGTCGCATTAATACCTGCAATACCCAACGCTATCCGGCCACTTACCTCACCAAGTGCACCCAGCATCTCGCCTCACTTCTCCATCACCAAACCATGTATACCCTTTTCCCTCACCCATCTATCACATACGACCACAGACAGTAGAAAGCTCGGGATCCCGTCCGCTCTCCCCTAGATAAGCTGCTGATCGCCAGACTAGTACTCAGGTGGGTGACCACTGGGGAATCCCTGGTGTTGTATGTTTTTTTGGTGCCTTTTTTTCCCCGGGGGATCCACTGTGAGACTCCAAGCTTGTGACTGGCACCGGCTTTTTTTTCCCGATTAAGGTTGCTTATATTCCCTGATAAGGTTAATAGATATTTGGAAGAGTCGATTTGATCAATATCGGCAGCCTGTCTGCGATCTTTGCTTGTCTTCACGGCTCGAGGGCTTTTCATTTTGGGAAAGTAAGATAACCAGCTGACAACCATCATGTAGCAGAACTTGTGCATTAAAGACCCTCGCGAGGCCCTCTGTGCCCCGCCTTAGATGGCTTTGAGATTTGTTTATTGCCAGGGGCAAGAAAAAAACTCCAGAGTTTCTCCAGCTTGGCATTTCGGCTTTCTGCAGCGGAGCTTTTGTGCTGCTTGGTTCACCTTAAGAAACTCTCAAATAACTACCTTGCTGGTTCTGCTGCAGGTCCAGGGACCCAGGGGTTATAAAAACATCAACGTCAGTATCTCTCTCCTACATCCCTGCAAGTAACCCGCGAAATCGGGTGATATTGGCAAAAGATAGTTCTTTGTTTACATCAACCCCTGAACCCATGAACAAAGGCCCCGCATAGCAACAGTCACGGAGTCAACAGTGGAACCCAAAAAAAAAGCATAAAAACATACAACACCGAGGATTCCCCAGTGGTCACCCACCTGAGTACTAATTCGGCCCTCAGCTGCTTGACTCGGGCAGAGCGGACGGGATGCCGTATTTTCAGCTGGGTATGGTCGTATGTGATAGTTGAGCTTGAATTTCTGGCTTATGTTTGAAGCACAGTTGAAGTTCCGGAGCGTCTTGACCAGAGACAGATATGCAGAAGAGCACAGTAGCGCATTTGAGAAATACCCTTTCGTGGAACTTTACGCCTGTGGTGTTGATAGGCAGATACTGGGGTTAATGTCCATGGGTACAGTATGATTGTTTCTTGTGACTGGCAGGTTTGATACCCGGGAGGCTTGATGGAAAGTATGGGTTTCTGAGAAACTTTGCAAGTTTTGTGGAGGAAAATACCGGTAATCTTTTACAATGTGAGAAGGCTTTGGGGGCACTGCAATCTGTTCCCTTTTCTTTTCTTGTGTGCGCGAAAGATTCCTTATTTTTCGAACAATGCTACTTACCTTATACCCTACACCTGGACAACTGTGAACCATCTCCATCCCAGACTTTACGATATCCCCCTAGAGCCTCAGACTCCACTGATATTGATCTGCATCAACCTGTTGGTAATGCAAATCTCGCTGCCCTTGACTGTGTTGTCCGCTCGGAAGCAGCTGTCAAAGATCAACCCGCCCGTGCGAGCGACATCCTGGCTAGATCACACACCATATCAGCCAGCGTCCCAGAAAACAAGGAAACGAAACATCGATAAAAACAGCATTGACATACCAATTGACACTTTGCGCCGCCAAACCGCCCCTGCTGGCAACAATCTGCGCACCACCAATTCGACACATCTCAATTTCGAAGACACGCGTCCCCATAGCACAGTGTTGACCATTAGCGCCCTTGCGAGCGAGATCATTAAGGCAGGCTGCTGCGTCGGGTGCCTATATATGCAGCCAGATCCGTTAGATATCTTGGTTCTTGTGCAAGCTAAGTCAAGGAATACGAAAAGGTAGGGGTATCATACAGGCGCATCTGGAAATGTCGGCTGACAGTTGGCTCTCTTTTGGAGACCGCCTGCCGTGCTGACAACCTCAGTAGCATTCGCTGCCACGATTGCTTCGGCGGGTGAGAGGGCTGTGTCCGGGTTGGTGATAATATCTTCAACCCATCGAGCGAAGGAGAAGGTGGTTGAAGAAGCGTCAGCTGTGGCTGGGGCAGCTGCCACTGAGGCCACCAGAGCCAAGACGGCGACGTTAAGGGCGAAGTTGACCATTGTTACTGATAAGTCGATGCTGAGGTAAATGATGATGATGATGAGATGTGAAGTCGGCCTCCCAAGCTGGTTGACGACCGAGTTTGTAGAGATGTATTGCGATAGCCCTGGACCTTGAACCTCCGAAAGACGGCAAAGGAAAGCAAAGAGGCAAAGTAAATCGATCTGCAACAGAGTCAAGCCCGAATTCCAAAGGCGTTGCTCTGAATTGCAACAGCGATTCTGCCATGATGACGTTGTGGCCTTTCCAAGATACCTACCTGCCCTTCCCCAATCCTCTGACCCCGACCTGCCCCAGTATGGCAACCACGATTGATGACCTGTTACCGAGATAGATGACCTGTTACCGAGATAGATTTCCACTCTCATGTGATGTCGTACCATCTTGAATCTGGTTTGGGGGTGAAGAAAGAGCCTTTGGTAGATGCCACGCCTACCTCATTTGGTTGTCGTTGATGGAAGCAGCCGACTGCTGTAGAATGAACAATCGTCCATTCCATTGCAGCCAAGCGGAAAGGGTGCCTCGGTAGGTAGTTTATGCAGTTAAAAAGTTCGAATCAACCAAGACGAGGGTCGGAATGCACTCGAGACTCTCAAATTACGTACGTTTGGAGTTTGTCTGGCACCGGGGACTCTCAAAACCGTGATTGAGAGTGACTTCACCGTATTATTTCTGTTAGTCTGGACTGTCTTTGAAATCCCACAGGTCGCCGATACTCCAAGATGCTAATAGGTCTAAACAGTCTCACCCTCTCTGAGAGTCTGCTTCATTAGGTCGGTGCCAACACTACTGAATATTAGTTCACGAAATAGATTTGAACATGGCAAGCAGATGTTAGTTAACATTCAACACAGCACCCATATACCCACCCAAATTTACCCCTCCACTTCCTCCTCCTCCTCCCCCTTCACCTCCCCAATCACCGGCCTCAACAGTTCCGGCAACAACAAACTCGCATCCCCCTCAAACCCAAAATCCCCCTTCCTCATCCTCCCCCAGTCCTCCTCCGTAATCTCCAAATTAACAGTCACCACACTCGTCCGCCCCTTTGTCCTCGCCCGCTCAGCATACCCCGCCGCAGGATACACCGCCGAGCTCGTCCCCACGACCAAAACCATATCCACCGGCTCTTTCTCAATCCACTCCTCAATATCATCCAACATATCCTCATCTAGCATCTCCCCAAACCACACCACCCCCGGCCTCTGCAGTTCAGTCTTACAATCCGGACAATGCGGTAATTCACTCTCCTTAATCTCGGCCAACGGCTGGGCCGGATCTAGCAAAGGAAGCGGCTTTGTCGGGTCAGGATTGGACTCTGCCGCCGGGGCAAGGGCAGGACATAATGGATCGGCAATATTGTAAAGGTCTTTCCAGGAGCAAGTGGTGCACTTGAGCGTGAAAAGCGAGCCGTGAAGCAGAGAGAGCTGATCGCTTGGGTGGTTGGCTCTGACGTGGAGGTCTTGATTGGGTTTAGGAACAGGGGACGGAAAGGGGGGAGATGGCTGACATACTATCTACATTCTGAGAAAGACATTTAAAACCAGGTCTCTTTCTCGCCAGCTCGGCCAGGGCGTAATGAGCCGGGTTGGGCTTGGCTGTCAAGGCCATGTGTCGGCGCTGTTGATAAATATCAGACCTGTACATCAAAGGAAAATGGGGATGAAAATGGAGTACGTAGGCGTAAAACAGCCAGACCAAACCGGGATCGGCGTCAAAGGCTTCGGGGGTGGCGAGGTCGACGGCGTTGTGGTTCCTCCATAGACCTCCGGCACCGCGGAAGGTGGGAAGGCCGGAGGCTGCGCTGAGGCCGGCGCCGCAGACGGCGAGGATGCGGTTGGATTTGAGAAGTTTTTCGTGAAAGAGGGGGATGGAGCTAAGGGCTGCTCGCGAGGCGGAGGAGGCCATGGTTCTTGGTTTGGGGTTTGTGTGCTTGAGACTGGTGAGATTTGTTAGCTGGCTGGTCTTTTTCACGTAAGGAGAAAGTATGAGATGGGCAATGTTGGGTAAAGGCTTTGTGTTATAGACGTGAAAGTATGTGAAAAAGCGGCCCCTTTTCCATCAAAGGTTTAGACAAAATAGGAGATCTATTAAATAGTTCTCTACGTACCTCTCACAAGCACAACTGGTTTCCGGTTTTCGTGTCTTTGTTTCCGGGAGATGACTTCGATCCAAGCCTCTCGGCTCTGGAGTCACAGTAAAAGGTCGTACACTCCAGTTACTGATATAAACCAACGCCTGACAAGGCAGCCTGTTGCCTTGCTTCCTGGCTCCCAGCCTTCTTTGCCCTGTGTCTGAGTAGCCGAAGGGCTAAAGGGGTTCAGGTTCGGTGAGAGGTTCCCCGCATTTTGGAGCCTCACACCCTCCTTCAATCTGAATGGAGAATAGCTGCACGAGGCCCCCCAAATCGGAAGCGGGATGACCTCATGCATCTCACCGTTTTTTGCCCGGCATCTCGGATGCATGCAACGCTGATTGGAGATCTTGCATTGCCCCTTTGACCCCTGAAAATATTTTCCGATGAGGAACCTGGAATAGAGCCACCACTTTTACCCATGCCGTCTTGGGATCATCAACACAAAACACTTGAAAAAGAGCCTCGTCAACTTCAATCCAATATGTCGTCTTTCCAATCGAATACATACGTTGAAGTCTCGGTATCTATTTACAACAAAAACGCTTCCCAGCTATCAAATAACAAGCAGTCATGCCACAACTTCTAAACACGCCAAAAAAACCATAACAACATGCTCGCTCAGTATACAGACGCGCCCCCAAAAGTCTTCATCTAAAAAACATTGCCTTGTCTCATCTAACAGATGCCATGACTGTTTCCCATCCGTGTCGACATATATATCTCCCGGGGACCACCGGTATTAAACTCGTATAAACATTGGGCATCGGTATTTGCTCAGCCAGCAACAAGATCCGTCAGGGCGACCGTTCTCATCACAATGTCGTGCGCACATCTCGGGGGACCACTGCTCCGCAAGGACCCAAGAGAAAGCGCGCAATGGGGGGATTGCGGAAGCGTACCCCTGCTCTCATTGCCAGACGCAAATGTAAGGAGTGTGGCGAAGACGCAAAATAGCTCCGGTGACAGGAGACAAAACTTGAAACAACCTTCTATCCTCTTATCGTGTCCAAATGGCGTGTGCGTTTAGAGAACAAGGTAGCCGAGAACAGCGGCGGCACCCATGGCGGCCATGTTGCTGAGGGCAACCTTGCCGGCGGCACCGGTGGGGATGGCAGTCTCGGTCTCGGTGACCTCCTCGGTGGTGCTGGTGGGGGTGGTGGTGGCATCAGTAGTGAGGGTACCATTAGTAGCGCCGAGAGCAGTGCTAGAGGTCACGGTCTGAAGAGTGGTGGCAGAAGTGGCAGTCTTGGTGGTAGCCTTGGAGGTGACGCTGCTGCTGCTGGAAACAACACCGCTGCTCCCAATAACCTTGATGCTCTGCCAGGTGCCAGACTTGTCGCCATACTGGTACTCGGTAGCCTCCTTGTGGCCACCCATGTAGTCGATGATCTTGAGGCTCTGGTAGTACCCGTCAGAGGGTCCGTTAGAGAAGTCGGCAAGACCACCAGCCCACTCGATAGTGCCCTGGGGAGCATCCTTACGACCGGCAACCCAGGTACCGAGCTTGATCTGCATGGGGGACTGAGGATAACCAGCGCAGCCCTCAATGCCGGTGTTCTTGAGCGTGCGGACGACCTGGCCGTCAATGATCCAGTCGAGCTGCTCCGAGGTCCACTTGATGGTGTAGGTGTGGAAAGCGCCAATGGGGTCGGCGACGGGAGAGAATCCACCGCGGTCGTACGTCTCGGTGCAGCCCTTGCTGAAGTAGTTGTGTTGGACCTGGGCATTATCCCCGCCGAGCCACTCCCAATCGATCTCATCAAGGTCGTCAGACTGGAGCACGAAGCTGGTGACGACACCGGGACCTGGGGCAGCCCTCAGAACAACATCGACCTGACCGAAGAAGATGTAGGCATCGCTGCCGATCGTGGGGGCCTGGTTCTCATTGGCAATGGAGAAAACAGCGCCGAGATCCTTATCGTAGGTGAGCTTGGTACCCTCGGCCTCCTTAAAGAACTTGTTCTTGCCCTGACGGAAGTCAATGTTGACGGGCTTAGACCCAACGGCCTTGCGGGCAGGGCAGTCGGCTAGATCCGGGGTGTCAGCGACACGTTCATGGCGAGATGTGGAATGTTGTCTTGAGACAGGAACTACTCACATCTCTTGGTGGGGTCACAGTCAGTGTAAGTCTGGGCAGAGACCATGGAGGCGGCGAGCGCCAGAGTGAGAAACTTGGAAAGCATGGTGTGAGAGTGTTGTGAGTGTTGTGAGTGTAGGTACAGCTGAATATTCCAAGAAAGATGAGTGTGTGTTGTTGTTGATTAGTAGTTGGTGGTGATGTATGCGCTGAGGCGGGTCAAGTGATGGCTGATGATTGAAAAAGAGCACGAGGCAAGTGGTGATGATGAGCGAGTGTATAAAAGAGAAAAGTGCCAGTGAGGCTGTGAACGAGAGACTGAAGAAGCGTGGGCAACACGAGCCTTGGTGTTGGCAGTTCGTGTATGCGTGAATTTGTCTGCTGACGATGGGGGATGGGGATGGGGAAAAACGAGAGAGGTTGACAAACGGGGACCCATCATCGCTTTCAATGTTCCTTCCAGCAGCGCCGAGCCCCTTTCCCACCGGGGTCCCAACCTCTCACGCCTTTGTTGGCCGCTGGGGGCATCTGAGCCGCCGACGGCCGAAATTCAGCAATGTCACCTGCCAACCCTGCCAAGGGAGCGCATGTTGTCTCCGTTGACAGGCCAATCAGGCCAATCAGAGGCGCGTATGCAGGGAAGACCCCTAGATGCTGCCCAGCCAGTGGCACTGCTGAGGCACACGTCCCAGGAAGGAAAGCTAGCCTTGGCATTCAAGGGGTGTCGGACGCTACTAACCCCATGTTTTGGGATTTTGAAGTGATGGCGGGTGGCCTGCCTGGGCTAGCCCAGTCTGGGCAAGATGATAATACGAGAGAGTTAGTCACCACCATGATCTAGAGGTATTGAGATGAAATAAGGTGAGGACTGAGGATGACCCAGAAGAAGTGGACAAAATGTCGTGTCCCAGAGATATTGCTCTGCGTTGTGTAACCATTTTTGTGCTCACATCAGATCGTGTGCAACGTGGGCGCGCTTCCCGTGGAAAAAGTCTTGGAACCAAGCACTCCAAGATGAGGCGGCAGCGTTGCTTATGAAAATTGAAATGAGAAGGAGTTGTTACCTACCGAATTTCCCAAAACACGAGACTCGGACCCCGACGGCGGGTGAAAAACTACCGGCCACGTACCGGCGCTATCGAATCGCCTTTTCCCAGCTGATGGGAAAGCTGAAAGCAAAAGAAGCACTTGGCCGTGTCATATCAAAACTCGATATTTTTCTTCTTGTCATTATTTCAAGAGGCCGTGGGCCGCACTGGCGCAAACAAACATCACCGCCACATGGTCGATCCGGCCCCCGTGCAATGCCCGTGCCCGAAATGTTGTCTGTCGACCAATCCAGTGGCAGTTCGTGATCGATCTCCCAGCGCTTGGTGGTGGAGGACGGTTGGGTTGACGAGGTTGGTCGCTGCCGCCCCACGTTGCCCGCATCCAGGCCCGCTCTCCGGAGACCGACGCCCCCACCGGCGCCCTCCTGCACGCCATGCAAACAACCTCAAGTCAAAGGCCAGCGGTGAGACCAACAGGAAAAGCGTTGATCCCGCCCATTGCCACTGTACCAGTCGCCGAAACAACATCTCGCCCTTGTACGAAACAGTGAGCGAATCTGCGGTGGTTCTGTGGTGTTCGCATCCTGGCCGCTGAAACAGGAGAACAGCAAGGGGCATCTTCCTTCTTGTAATTTTTCCTCGCACCTTTCCCCCCGCGGCCGAACGGTTCGTACGACGTTAGCGCGCCACCTATGGCAACGGAGCCGTTATTCTGGATGTCGGATCACATCCGCCCAGTCTCCGGTTTCATGGTTTCATGGACTTTCTCTTCTTCTTTGGTGCCCGCCGAGGAAACATGATTTATTTCAGAGGCCATTTCCGTCATAGCGAAGAGGGTCAGACGGCGAGGAAGGAGGCCACTTACAACGTTGCATATCCCTTTTTTGGCATATGACAAGAAACATGTCTCACTCGCAGCATGTCACTTGGTGGCTCTAGAAGGGTTGACTGAGACACCGACTTTTGTGCTCACTCAGTCAGCAACAAATTGTCTACCGACCAGCTGTCATTCATCACGCGTTTAAAGTGTGGCAGTGCGCTTGGGTTCGCATTGAAAACCTTCTTGGACTTTTCGGCCCAACCAAAATACGATGTCGCATTCAACGCACAAGATCTCAGCAGTTCCCAAGTCTGTTTTCGACTGCGCCTGTTGCTAACATGATGCTAGCTCGGAGCATGCTTTCTGCTATGATTATCGACAAAGATTTTTTCGAGTTGTAGAGCTCAGCCCTACGACAAGAGCTCTCCCGGTTTTCTGGGCCACTACGGGACGGCCGTTGCAGCGGGTGGACAACTGCCTCGGCGGGACGTTGTGAAAACCCGGACTACGAGTGAACACGGGAAGCCCAGCTCATCGCATCTCCATCTCCATAGTCTCTATTTTTGGGTTGCTTATAACAGGTTGAGTGTGGGCTGATATTGATGCCTCAGTATTATATGGTTCCAATATTTTCTATTTTCCCGGTGCGGCCTCCACGCCTTCTTGTGACTGGTAAGAAGATCCTGAGACACATGCCAAGATGGCAGGCGGTAGGAAGTTCTCCATGAGCCAGCCGCCGTTACTTTTGCAGCGAGCAGCACATTCGCAAATTTGGATGGATATGGGTTGTGAATTCTGCAATGGCAAAAAGACAGAGCAAGCTAGTAAAAAGGCAAAAGGTTGTGGTTGACTCTCCCGCCGGGAATTGAACCCGGGTCTCGAGCGTTGTTGGATGACAAGCTCACATACTGACCACTATACTACGGAAGATTTACAGATGTGATCATCTGTCGTAGCTGGTTTGCTGGGAATGGATCGAGGATTTTGCCTTTACATCAGGAGTCACCCAACAACACTAGGTAGTTCACATGCATAAACTTCGGTCCCTACCCAGACTGACATCATCGTCAACGACTTCAAACTCAGGTTGTTCTCACTCACACAATGAGCTCGGCAAGCATCAACCACCCGACTTCTCTCTCACGGGTGCAACAACACTATCCAAATATCTCTCGGTACAGCCCGAAAAACCGTCTGTCACATCACCACCACACCTTTTCCAGACCAACCACAGGTGCGCGTCAGGTTGCCGATGTCACAGATATTTAAACCAAACGACTCTGGGTGCTACAGAACTTCAGAGATGTTACGCAACGCAAGACATGCATGGAACCTGCTGATCGATGTACTGCAGGATCACGACCGCCGCATGCAGTCTGTCGTGACCGTTTGTGTGTCACAACGCCTTGCCTGATTCTCTCTGAGGAAAAAGGCGGGGATTTGAGGGTTTGAGCGTAAGACATGGCTGGTGATATCGCTATCTTTGCTCCCTTGGGTGGGATGAAATCATCGAAGGTCGTATCGCGAAAGTTCCCCCATTCTCACCTCACGGACCGATTCGGCCGGGTCGGGAACTTGGGATCAGGTACCACAGATTCAGTGACGGATTGACATTGGCATGATTGAGCCATATATGACCGCAGCAGTTCAAACCGTCGAAACCTTATCTTCGTCTGTCCTTTCGCCCTTGGCGGCAAGATCTGGCAGCTTGGATGATACCACTGCATCAATCTCTGTTCTCCAAGCCAGCGCACAGCTGTCAGAAGAACCAGAGATGGCAGGTGAGGCCAATTGCCTGGACGATCACCATCATCACTATGTTTGTGTCGGTCGCACACATGCAGCGGAACGCTGGGTGAGCTTGTCTTTGGATGCCAATGTGTTTGCCCGCACACTCCGACTTTCCCCTCTCTAAGGTATCTCGCTGTTGTCTGGCTGGTGGTCGTTGGTAGTTCAACGTTGGAAGACAAGCTGCTCAACCACACTGTTGACAGCTAACCCCCCACCGGCTCTTCTCTTTCATGCCTCCCTTTTTCTGCTCGCCCGTCGAATTACCCCGGGTTTCACCGTCGGAGCAACTCCGTTGAGTTGAGGGAAACCAGCCACAACACTGCCATCTCCACCAGAAAGTACCAGGACGATATCAACATGTCCGTCGACAGAATAAGAGCAATTGACAAGATTGAAAAGCTCCCACCGCCTGTAGACGACGATGAGGATAAGCATGAGCTCGGTGTTTCTCTCCAACCTTATACTTCTAGCCAACATGGACCCAGAAACCAGGATAGACGAGGCAGCACCCTACTGGGCGACGTCATTGTCGAGATCGACCCTGTTGTTGAGAAGCGGGTCAGGAGGAAGTTTGACAAGACGCTGGTCGTGCTGGTGTTTCTGGCTTATATGCTTGCCTTTCTTGATCGGTCCAATATTGGGAATGCGCAGAATGCGGGAATGGGCGATGATCTTGGGTTTGACGATGAGCACTATCGGTGGCTGCTCACCATATTCTACATACCGTATAGTAAGTGCCTTATGCTCGTTTCTTGGACTTGGTGCTGACAGCTTCTCAGTCTTGTTTGAAGGCTTTGCCCTCATGTGGAAGATCATGCCTCCTCGTATGCCTGCCTCCTATTTTCTCCTAACACATCAGATCCTAACCTAACCCAGATATCTGGGCCACCATAACAGTAGCAACCTGGTACTCCCCCCTCACCTCCCCCCTTTTCAACCCGCTAACCGTCCCCCCAGGGGCCTCGCCTCAACCCTCCAATCCGCCGCCCCCAACTGGCAATCCCTCATGGTCTGCCGCTGGTTCCTCGCCATGGCCGAAGCCGGCTTCGCCCCCGGCGTCCCCTACCTCCTATCCTTCTTCTACCGCCGCCGCGAACTCGGCCTCCGCTGCGGCATCTTCCTCTCCGCCGCCCCCCTCGCAACAACCTTCGCCGGCGCCCTCGCCTACGCCATAACCAGCACCCCTTCCCCCCCTCTCCCGCCCTGGCGCCTCCTCTTCCTAATCGAAGGCCTCCCCACCCTCATCTTAGCCATCATCCTCTACTTCCACCTCCCTTCCTCCCCCACCACCGCCCCGGTCCTCACCCCAACCGAACTTTCCGTCGCCAAAGCCCGTTTATCCCTCCACACCCCCCAGCAAGGTCAAACCCCCACCGGCTGGCGAAGCATCTCCCCCCGCGAAATCCTCTCCACCTTTGAAAGTCTGCAAACCCTCCTCCCCTCCCTAATGTACTTCTCCCTCAACGTCTCCTTCTCCTCCTTACCTGTATTCCTCCCCTCCATCCTCTCCTCCATGTCCCTTTCCCCAAACACCTCCACCGCACAGGGTCTCACCGCCCCGCCTTACCTCCTCTCCTTTCTCATCTGCATCCTGTCCACTTACCTCGCCGACAAAACCCAGCAACGCGGCCTGACAATCATTTGTCTTTCCCTCGTCGGCGGGGCGGGGTACGTGCTACTAGCAACCCTGCCAGAACACCTCGTTTCGGTCCGGTATTTTTCTGTTTTCTTGGCTGCCGGGGGTGTCTTTCCTAGTATAGCCAATGTCCTTCCGTGGACATTGAATAACCAGGGGAGCGACACCAAACGGGGGGTGGGCATCGCGGTGCTGAATATGGTCGGGCAGTGCGGGCCGCTGTTGGGGACGAGGCTGTTCCCCGAGGGGGACAGGCCTGGGTATACAAAGGGGATGGTGGTCTGTGCGGTGTTTATGTTTGTTAATGCCGGGCTGGCGGCGGGGTTGAGGTGGCATTTTGCGAGGAAAAATAAGAGGCTAGAGGAGAGGGAGAGGGCTCAGGTGGTGTTGAGGGTGGGGGATGGAGGGAGGAGGGAGGATGGGGAGAGGGAGGGGATGGTTGGGTTTAGGTATGTTTTGTGATGAGGGGCTTGTTGGAATACCCCAAAAGGCAGTGATTGGGGTGTACTGACTTGCAAGGGAAATAATGAGATGTGATGAGTTTTCATGACGGTAGGGATGGTATTGTTTCTTTGTTTATCCAATGGTTATCTGTTTGATGACAGTGCCTATGCTTGGGAGCCCAATCCTTAGTCTCTGAACTGCCCCTGAGGCAGATACTGCCAGTTCGAGACATATGCCGGTGTCGTCCCATTTCTCCCGTTATTCGTGGCATACACGCCAAGGAGCACCCCTATTTCAGCCAGTTAGCAACACAATGATATCCCTTAATCTTCCATGGAGAACCTACCAGTAAAACCCCAACTAACAGGCTCATTACTCGCATACAACAACGTCTGCATCAAGCTCTGTCTCCCCGCTGGCCCAACACTGAAGCTGTAATGAGTCCTATTCGCAGCCTTGATCTCCAGCCTCAGTTTTCCATCTCTCCAAGCCTTGGGCACAGGGGCAATGATGGGCTTCGGAACAGGCACGTAGGATTCCCCCCTGAACCTGATCTGCGGAATCAGAGCCTCCTCTTCTTGTCCCGCGGGCTGTCCCGGCAAGAGAGTCGCAGTGCTGGCACTTGGAGGCAGCAGCACGATCCCAATGTCGAGATGGTGGTTCTGTGTCAAGAAAGCAGATACACCGGCTTCTTCTTCGATGACTGTGGGAGAAAAGTCAAGGTCGACGGAGAAAGTGAAAAGGGTGTCTTGCTGTCGGCGCGAGATGAAGCTCTGACCACCTGGGCCGGCGTAATTCCCATTCAGAGCGGTCAGGTTGATGTTCGAAGGGTTGATTCGCAGAGTGTTTGGCTTCTCAGGCGGCGAGATGGTAAAGGAGGATGGATTGGGGTAACGCCAGTGCGTGATGTGGGCTGGGAGAGCGGTATCGTTGGAGAAGGTGAGAATCTCGGGTGTCGGATGGTTGACAAATGGCCTAAAGCATGAGGAAAACCGAGATTAGCTAGGCACATGACGAGCAGAAGTTGCGAATTCACAACTTACCCCACCCCTTTGATATCCAGTGCCGCAGGCGGCAGAGGCCAACCGCTCACTTCACCGCTGATGGGTGTCCAAACTGGGTACTCTCCCTCGGGCCAGGATACAGCCGTCATGATGGTTTCCCGTCCCATGGGATAGTGTATGTATTCAGGACCTGAGCGAGTGGACAAAGCAACACCCCACCAGTTTCCATTGCCATCATGAAAGAGATCCGCATGGCCTACGGTTTGGACTGTTGACGGGGGTGTAAGTCAATCGAACCACTGCTGTTATGGGTTATTCGGCGCTTACAAAGACTTGAGGTATTGGCATTGGACAAGACCGGGTTGTTCACATATGACTCGTAGGGTCCAGAAACATTCTTTGAGCGAGCCATCGTGACCATGTGGTTAACACCAGTTCCACCTAGAAGATGGTCAGCTTAGTCCACTTGGACAGAATATATGGGTTGCCATGTTCTTACCCTCTGCAGCCAGGAGATAATACCATCCATCCTTGTGGTAGATATGCGGTCCTTCAGGGGCAAGGCCGCCGGTTCCGTTCCATATGACGTTCCATTCGCCAACTTCTCCTGTGTCAAGGTTGACTTCCGCTTGTTCAATGTAAGGTCTTTAACAGCCATGGTCAGCCCACACCATTTCAAAGTTCAAATAGTTAAAGCAGTACATACCCAACTTGCCATGCGTGGGCGGCGTTGATGTAAGCCTTTCCATCCACATCCCAAAAAGGCTCAGGATCGTAACCAGTAAGATTGAAGTGGATGGCATTCGACCACGAGGCTGGGTCGTACGGATCCTTGCCCTTGAAGATAATCTGCCAAGCAGAAAAAGATAAGCATCCTCTTCGAAGAACAGGTGGTGGGGAAGACATACGTTATCCCATCTGGTAAAATCTGCCTGAGGGCGGTCATCATCTACCAGTGTCGTGACAAGCCAAAAAGTGTCATCATGAAATCTGATGGTCGGTGCCCAAATGCCACTTCAGGCTGTCAGCCATGATACTGTCCTCAGTTAGATCGATTCAATTCCTACCTGGTTGATCTATTCGTCTCCGCCAGCCTGGGGAGTTGCTCCTTGCGGTTCAGCACATGCCCAATCAGCTGCCAGTTCTGCAGGTCCTTGCTCGCGTGAATAGGAATTCCTGGAAAGGCATTGAAGCTCGACGAAGCACAAAAAAAGGTATCATCCCACTCAGGGACAAAGATACAACTTGGATCCGGATAGAAGCCCGGGAATATCGGGTTGTAGATGGTGGAGTTGGCCGCGTGACCCAACGAAGCTGAGAGACGGGCTGACAAGCCCAGTAATAAGAGTGACTTCATGGTAACCAACTTCAACGTTGTCCATCTCTCTGAGAAATGTCTCATGCCAAAGACGATACATGGTCAATATGTACCCGAGTCGTCACCAGCAACCTGGTAGTTGGGCCCCGCACGTGGAGGAGATCAACGTGGGATTGCCGGATAAAGGGGGTAAACAGCGGGATGGCCCATCGCCGGGTATAAAATAGGTACCGAACGTTTAGGCAGCTGGTTAAGCATAAGGACTGTTACCATGCCGATTTGGGGTGTTTTGGTACATCTCGTCGATGTAGAGAGATTGCTGGTTGTTGAATGAGGGTACGGTTTCCAAGATGCTGCCATGGTCGGTGAAAGCTGCCAGGAATCAATAGCTCTGCCATACAACAGAAAAAAGAATTGAAGTTTCATAGATACTCCACAACTAATTCTAGTACATGTGATGGGGTTGCCCATGGGAAGGCAGGAACGTGAGAAGTCGCAGGGCCGCTGCGGGGAAGGAGCCATGCAAGGTACATCAATATGGAAAGGGAACGCCCGTATTGGCTATGCGTCATGAACTACAGCAGATCCGGATGAAAGCTCAAATCATTGTTTTAAGAGCTTAACGTGATCCTACTGGCTGTGTCATCCGGTTAGCTTAAGTCGCGTGGTGTGTGTGAGTTGAGGTCTCACAGAAGCTCAAGCATGGAAGCTCATGACAGTGCCCAGTGCAGACGAACTCAGCCATCCCATGTCAGTAAGAGATACCTCATTCAAAACTTGATGGCACATGTTCCAGGGCAGGAAATACAATGATAAGGGAGCCTTCACTTGCCAGAGAACCTGTTGGTTTTGGCCAAGCTCGCCTCACTTCTATCAAACCTCTTGCACAATACCAACCTCACCTTCGAGACCTAAGATGGGTAAAATCCTGTCAAAGTTGTCCCGGTCGGTATCCGAAATGAGCTTTGACAAGGAAAACAAAAACTCAAACAGCAACGCCAACCACCACCCCGACTCGGACAACACCGTCGCCATCCACCATTCCGTTCCTGGCAATCTCGAGGTCAAGTCCCAGAAAGTCAAATTCCGTGGTTCATGGCCTGATGGAGGATCCGGTTGGGGTGGAGGATATAGTGGGGGTGGAGGAGACGGAGAGGGTGGTGATTGAGAAACAAGCTGGACACCCGACGTTATATAGCAACTCAGGAAATTCAAATTTGGTCGAGACACCAATGTTGAAGATGTCGAATACACTACAGACAAAGGGTTAGGGAAAGTTAACATAAGTATTCTATGCCAAGACATATCTACGCTAGAAGCCCACTAAGAACGCCACCTATGCACCCCGGCCGGCAACTGGGTGTCAGGGGTCTGTTAGCTGCGTCACTCGCTAAACTTCCGCGCTCCTCAACATGGACGAAACCTCAACCTTTGATCACGGCGCGATCGCCCACCGTCGAGCGCGCTGACCATCTTGAGTATTCAACCGTCAACTAACACAATTATCGAGCCTATCCATCCATCGCGCCCTCAAATAACCCACCTGAACCCCCTTACGCACCTACTCCCTCCCATCAACCCCCCGCCCACCTTCAAAATGCAAGGCTTCAACATGGGCCGCTACGTCCCCCCAGACCTCGAAGGCCTCCTCACCTCAGGCAACCCCCTCCACAAAAAACATCCCCTCGGCCCCCGCGCCTCCAAACCCGGCCTCCTCACCGTCCGCTTCGAGATGCCCTTCCCCATCTGGTGCGCCACCTGCCCCCAACCAACCCTCATCCCCCAAGGCGTCCGCTTCAACGCCTCCAAGTCTCGCTCCGGCTCCTACCACACCACCCCAATCTACACCTTCACCCTCCGCCACCCCCCTTGCTCCGGCACCATCACCATCCAGACCGACCCCAAAAACACAGACTATGTCGTTCTCTCGGGCGCCCGGAGACAAAACGTCGCTACCTCGACTGATGATTTAGTCACGACGAGCATCAAGACGCAGAGGGAAAAGGAAGAGGAGAGGAAGACGGCGTTTGGGAAGCTGGAAAAGACGATTGCGGATAGGGAGCAGGCGAGGGATGCGACGGTTAGGATAGATGAGTTGCGGGATAATAATGAGAGGCTGTGGGAGGACCCGTTTACTGCCAACAGGAGGTTGAGGGCGGGGTTCAGGGAGGGGAGGAAGAGGCGGGAACGGGAGGGGGAGAGGGATGAGGGGATAAGGGAGAGGATGGGGTTGAGGATCAAGTTGCTTCCTGAAAGGGAGGAGGATGGCTTGAGGGCGGGATTGGTTGATTTTGGGGGTGTGTCCGAGGGGAACGAGGGGATGGGGGTGGAGAGGGTTTTGGCGAGGCCGTTGTTTGAGGATGGGAAAAAGAAAGAGGGGCTTAAAAAGGAGGGAAAGGGGAGGTTGAAGAGGGAGATTAAGGCTGACAGGATGAGGGAGAGTTTGGTGGAGGAGATTAGGACAAATACCAGGGCGATGAAAGACCCGTTCTTGGTTGCTTTTGGGGACAACAAAAGCAGCAGGGACAAGGGGGGTGGTTTGCTTCCTGGGTTGAAGAAAAGGAAGCGGGGGGCAGAGGATGAGGGTGAGAAACCGATACCGGCACCGGCACCGACGCAGCCAGAAGATACCCTCGCTGGAGGTGGCAAAGGGGAGCTTAAGCCGACAGCACCTGCAGGGCAGCGTGCTCTACTCGTGAGTTACGACTCTGACTCGGCTTAACTCCCGGAGGGACGCGGAAAAGGTTTGCATTTTGTTTTATTTGCAAAGCATAGCGATTATACCCCATACTCATGAAAAGATTGATTGTTTTTCGCTTTCCCCATTTGTCGGTACCTAGTGGCTTTGACTAGAACTGCAACTACAACTACAACTTGGGATACTATTAGTCAAGTCATACTCTGTCTTATCGGCGCTGATTGGCTGGCTGCAGCTTGCTCCAGATCTGTAGCTGCTGCCTTACTCTACAACACTAGCAGTCGTTGTAAAAGTTGCTCTATAACCTTGCTCCTGAACATATATAGTGAAGTCGCCTAAACTGTGTGCAGTCAGGTTCACAGTCTGACTGTTTCTCACACAAGCCAACCTCAAACCCTTTGTTGCCGGAAGTCCGGAGCCAAGCAAACCAAACAACACATTCACAGCCTCCGAGTGTGCATCAACCTCCAAGAAAAGAAAAATAATGGATATCAAAACCAGGAACCAGAACCGTTAGAAAACCCTTAGTACCGTACCAAGCCATTGCAACTCCCTTATCCACCCATACCTGTAGTCCATCCATGATTTGGTCAAGACGAAAAAGCATTCAACACACCGCTGGAGTACCCCTCGGAAACAAACGACAAATCCAACCCTATACATCATCCATCTTACCAGCTGGCTGCTGTTCCTCATCGTCGTCGTCGAAACTCGCCACCGAGGACAGATCGTCGTCGTCTTCGCTTTCGGCGCCGGCATCGTCGGCTGCTTCTTTGCTGGCGTATTTCTGGACGTACTCTGTCATTGGGATATCGTCAGCAATTTTGTACTTGTCCATTTACGACCCGAGGATTCCGGTAAAAGCGAGTGACCGTAAAAAGAGAGCAGAAGGCTACTCACCCTTGACCTTGATATCATAACTTTTCGGCTCCCTCATCAACAGCGCCGCCGCCTCCCCATTCAGCGGATCCGTCGGGTTCGGGTAGCGCAGCAGCTGCGGGAGGAAGACTTCGAAAATATTGATCATGTCGAACATGGGCGACCAGGTTTGGTTGATGACGTCGAGGCAGACCGATCCAGACCTATAATCCCCCAGTCGTTAGCCTCTCATTCCAATCTTGCCTATATGCTTCCGTGTGGTCAAACTTACAGCTCATCAATATTAGGGTGAAAAATCCTGTTCACGAACCCAATACTCGGCGACTTATACGGGTACTGATCAGGGAGCTCGACATGAACCTTCCAGACACCACCTTCGAAGGGAGCTGCACCGGGTTAGCTATCCCACCTCTTTTATCGAGCAGATATCACATACTCTCAGTAGGCCCCTTGAACCGCACGTAAAACTCCTGCCTATCGTTCCCACCACTCGCATCAGTCATGAAGGTTCCCATCTTGCAAACCATCGCACCGTGTGGAGTATCGGGCCGCTGTAGCCATCGTCGTGGCGTCGAGCTTGACTTACACTGCAAATTAAGCATAACCTGTTAGCATCCCACCGCATCAAGCCCCTTGCCCCACGCTGTCGGGTATATGTATGTATACGTACTATTATCATTGACCAAGGTGACCTCGTAATCGCTCATGAACCTATCGACCCATTTCCCATCAGTCTTGGTTTTTTATCACCCTCCCTCGCAGGTAGACGTACAGCTTCATGACATCTGTCTCGATGCGGCGACGCGGGGAAGCCATCTTTGCCGACTTGGATCGCTACGTTACCAGTCGTTTGGGATGGTGTGGCTTTCAAAGGGACACGCCCGCGTGGAGTTTTCGGCGTCGGTCTTGTCAAAATCGAGGAGTTTGAGTTAGCGGGTGGCAACTGGCAGGGCGTTCGAGGTTTGAGGGATCGGTGTTAGGAAAGGAAGAGAGGATGTAGTAAGTAGCAAGCAGAGCCACAGCAGGATAGGTATGGCGTAAAAGGAGGAGATCAATCCCACAGGTGTTTTTTTTTTTCGCTGGCCTACCTTGATGGTTTTCTTTTTGGAGTTGGCAGGGGCGCACTTGCGAAAGAGGCGAGCGAGGGCTGCTGCTATTAGGTGTCGACGATCGGATCGGTTGACTCAGCTGGGTGGTGGTGGTGGTGGTGGTGGTGGTGGTGGTGGTGGTGGTCTTATGGTGTACTAGCAGCGGTGGGTGTGGCACGTAGTGTTAATGCGGGATGCGGGGAATGGGGGGTCTTTTATCTGTGGTTGTTTGATGTGTTGTACCTGAATGGCGGCTTCTTGTTTCTGCCTTTATTAGGTGCCGTTTTATGCAGTTACAGAGAGAGGCGTTGAAGGGCTTGCGATTTTATTGGAAAGGGGGCAAAAGGGGAAGGGAAATGATTGCTTCATGAGGTGGTAGTCCCTTTCAAAGGTCACGACGTCAGACAGTGGAAGTCACCCGCCTGCAGCAGCCTCAAGGTGGATGCGTTGCCCGCCCGCTCTGGGCCTCTTCCAGCCGCTCGGACAATTGCCAGTTGCTCCGAGAGAGAGAGAGATTCGATGAGGCCACCCAAGTACAGGAGAAGCCAAAACCAAGAGTATCCCGCAATGGTTGGCTTTTAGGCCATCACGCCAATTTTGTAATCAACAACCCAACTGCCCGATATTGCCGATCTCTCTTGTTCCTGGATTCCATTTGGATGTATGAATGGACATTCATGAGTGTTCGATGATGTGTCAGTGATCGGTGGAGACAGATGACGCCATGCGATTGGAGGGCCCAAGCATTTGGGAGAGTTGATGTTGGCCCGATGGCGGTCAGGTCTCAGGCACGCCTTTGTCTTCTTTCAACGGGCCCCTTAATCCGGACTGACAGTCAAGTCTCCAACATACAGAATATCCAGGCTTTGATCTCTTGTATACCGATATCTTGTCAAGGAGACCACTTTAAAGCAACCCGGGCCTGCCGGGTAGTCCCCGCGGAGTTAAACAGACAAGTACAGCGAAGCGGGGTAGGGAACAGCCATCTCCTCACCTTTTGTAGATGGGCATACGACACCATAGCCCAATGGGCGGTAGCTGAGGGCGAACGGCAATGGCAAAGGCGGAGGAGTCACGCGTGCCTGGCCGGTAACATTTGATCCTCAGAGCTGACCCGGAATCGGGCATGCAAATCGACGGCTTGGCTCCGGTTTTCTGGCTTTGCTGTTGCAAGTCCAAAATGTTGGAGGGGTAAGAAATCTTTGAACTCCGCTCACAACATAGTCTTATTAAAAGACTCAATATCAAAAGTACATCTGACACCAAAGCAACCACAATGGCCCCAAGGCTGAGAGTAGATAACACAATCAATAACAAGGCTGCCACTTCAGCTGATGGATGCATGGAAGTGTTGAAAGATGTCTGATGGAAAAGCACTCGGCGAAACCACTGCCTCGGCTCCAGCGGCCCCAGTTCCAGCTCACCGTTCATGACCAATCATGTTCCACCCCGATCGCCCGAACCGCTTGCAAAGAGCCGGCCTCAACCTTTTTTCGGGGTAAGAAACCCGCCCTGTAGTTTTACTGGGCCTCTGGGTGGAGGGGCGCCGCAACAAACAAAACTCCAGCGGATTCAAGAGAGATACTCAATTGTACGCAGCAAAAACCATCATGACCCTGCTGATTAAAAACTGCGCGAATTCGCCCCAACCATGCTCATTTTCAGATTCCCAAAAACTCTTCTCTTTCTGTTCTTTGCAGAGGAAAAAAGAGAGCTGAGAAACAACCACCACTTTTTTCCACTTTGAAACAAGACGTCACCGTGCAGCAAGACGCACACGCACACACACACCTCTTCAGTGACAACAAGTACACCCTATGTACCTATCATCACTGTCCTCAGTTGCTCGGAGGTCGTGCGCTACCCTTTCCAGGGGCACACGACCACCACCAACAACACTATCAACAACATCAACACTCAACACCACAACACCCTTTGCCTCTGTATTCCGCCAAAAACATGCATCAAATCAGCAAACTAGAAGCAGCTCCCACTCCCCCATGGGCACGCCACCCACCAACCCCCGCAAAAAGGTCACCATCGGTACCCTCCGAGCCATGCACAAGAGGGGTGAGCCTATCACCATGATCACTGCCCATGACTTCCCCAGCGCCCATGTGGCAGATGCCGCCGGCATGGACATGGTCCTCGTCGGCGACAGCCTTGCCATGGTGGCCCTCGGCATGGAAGATACATCAGAGGTTCTTCTGGAAGAGATGCTGTTACACTGTCGATCCGTTGCACGTGCCACCCGAGCTGCCTTTACTGTATGTGTTCTATTCTGGTCCCCTCTACTCTGCAATAGACTGACTGACATTCCTCCTAGATTGGTGACCTTCCCATGGGCTCATACGAGATCGCCCCGGAACAGGCTCTTGAGACAGCCATCCGGTTTGTCAAAGAGGGCCGCATGCAAGGCATCAAGCTTGAAGGCGGCAAAGAGATGGCTCCCACCATTGCCAAAATCACCAGAGCCGGCATTCCAGTACTTGGCCATGTAGGCCTCACTCCTCAACGGCAGAATGCCCTGGGTGGTTTCAGAGTCCAAGGCAAAACGTCTGACGGTGCTATGAAGGTGCTGGAAGATGCACTCGCCATTCAAGAAGCCGGGTGCTTTGCCATGGTCCTGGAGGCAGTCCCTGCCGAGGTGGCATCCATCATCACTGAGAAGCTCTCTGTTCCAACTATTGGCATTGGTGCTGGAAACGGCTGCTCTGGTCAGGTGCTTGTGCAGGTCGACATGACGGGCAACTTTCCCCCTGGAAGGTTCCTCCCCAAGTTTGTCAAGAAGTATGGCGATGTCTGGTCAGAGAGTCTCCGGGCCATTGAGACTTATCGAGACGAGGTCAAGAGTCGGCAATATCCTGCCCCTGAGCACACGTACCCGATTCCAAAGGATGAGCTCGAGGCGTTCGCGGAGACGGTCAAGGATGTGTAAAGAATATTGGGATTTGGGGGTGTTGGATGCTTCGCATGGCGTGGTTGTCCCTTTTGCACTTGGGTTCAGCGTTGTGGTTTATTGTATGCATTGGCGGTAACTGGTTTTCTGTTTGGCCATTTGATTGCATTTTGGCGGATACCATGTTGTGTTGATAGGTAGTTAGGATGCCTTTGGTGCGTTTCATCAAAGGACTCTTCAAATAATACTCAAGGATAATAGCTTCATGCTTTTGACTGGGACACATAACTTTGTCGCGGTTTCGGTCATGCCAGCATGGTTGACTTACTATCCAAACGCAGGAGTAATCGAGTAGGACACATTCAGTCTGTTTTCCGAGTCTTTGAAGCACTGCAGCCCGTAGTGTTAGCAAAGTGTCATGTCAGTACAAGTCGAGTATCGCTTACCCTCCATAGGTTGCCCACTACCTCGTCTAGTGACGGGGCAAAGGTGCTGTTAATGTAGAGAAACACACTGTCTGTATCCCTGACCTTGAGAGATCTCCTCAGATGGGCTACAACACTCTCAAACTTGTAGCTGCTGGAAACCTTGACCTGCTCTCGAGGTACGGCCGGGGCTGCTCCGACAGGCCGGAAACGCACGATGACTTTCTCCTGAGGGAAGGCTCCGGCAGCGGCGAGGGCAGTTGTGGCATCACGGGGCAGGGTCATTAGAACTGTGGATGCTGTCATGGTAAGGGGCAGATCCGGAGAGTCACGACCTTCCAAAACAGGGGATGCCGGTGGTGATGTATTGGTGTCGTCCGCTGTCGGGCGGGAGGGTGAAGGTGAGGATGCCATGTTGGCTAAGATATCGGTTGCTGTTCTCCGCCCTTTGGCTATTTGTTGTCAGAGATGATGGACAAAGCGGAGTGGCGGCTCAGTAACGAGCAAACGGATGAGTATCTGTGTTTTTTGTGAAAGGTTTCCCAAAAGAGGAGTCGTAAGCTTTGAGGTTGTCCAGTGCATCAGGGCAACCAGGCAGCCCCACGATCGATCATCAATCTTGGCATGTGCTTCTTGTGGGGGACCCCACCCCACCATGTGCTATTTTCAGGGTTAGGGTATAGGATGAAGCTGTCAACAACCACACGCTTTGCCGTCCATTTTGACGACAATGGCTTTGGAAATGTCAGCGGGCCGGGCCGACCTTACCAGGTTGGCTGGTTTTGATGTATAAATATCAAATCCACGCTTTAATAGCTCCGCGACGCAAATGGAACGAAATGGCACGGCAATTGCGGCTCCCTGTTTCCATCAGGCTGCCGAATCGCCCGACTTTACTTACCTAGCTAAGAGGTCTTTGCTTTTCTTCTCGCCGCTGAGTAACAAACATGCAACGCAACCTTGACCGCTTCAACACCTCAGACAAATATATATATATATATCAAGTGGCATCCGATGCTTCCATGACTTCGAGAATATCGTTATTCGTGATGTGGCAGTCCTTGCATTTAGATTAGGAAAATCCATAGCCCGGCGCAGGTCCAGGCGGGACCAGAACATCCAGCCATGTTCCTTGGAGTTGTCAATATCAGGGTCCAGACCCCATCAGAACCTTTTGTCGTAGGTAAGGCTGACACCCAGCAGAGGGGTTGCAGCCAATCACAGCACGGCGCCGATCGAGCTACTGCCGGCTTGGCTGGTGGAGAAGCACGCACCCGCAGCCTTCTCCAAGACAAAAAGTGGCATGATTCTGCTCTCAAATCAGCCCAAATCAAAAGAGTCTGCGTCAGAGCTCCAATCCCCCGATTGGCCTCTGGCCGCCTTCCCAAAGCTCCCCAGAGAATCCGTAAAGTGTCTGAGTGAATTTCCCAAGCCCAAAAGTCAGGCCATCTCGACAGCAACAGAGATCCAGCAGCCCAATCGGCTTCTAGCAGCAACTCCTAGCGACCTCCTGGAATACCAGGGTGCCACACCCATCGAGATCTTCAACGATCCCAGGCCCCAAGAAGCCATTTGCAGTTTCACTCACTTCACGAGGAGTGTTTGTTGCTTGTGATCACTGATTTTACCCACCTCCCACACGTTATCCCGCCGCCACGCTACCAGCAAAAAAAAGTTACAGCCTCCCTCTGGTGTCCATCTGTCTGTGTGTATCTTCGGCCCGGCTCAACAACACCACCATCCATTTTTACCCTCTCTGGCCGTTGCTGCCAGTTGCCGAGACCGAGATCGTCTTCCTGCAAAGTCGTCCGTTACTGTCAGCCCGCCCCTGTCTGGCTCTAATAGGAAAGGAGATTCTGCCACTGGACCGACATTCAGTCTTCCTGATGCTGCTCTTCGACACTACTCGACAAGGGCCCTAGGTACCTCCCATATTCTCCTCGAGCCCGCTTCCGACTTCCCGCGCTCTCTCTGTCTGTTTCTAGTACACTTCCTGTACATAGCTCTCTCACACATACAGCCCGACAACATCACCTCCCGCTCGTCAGCTACCGGCCTCCATAAACCGCATCTGGAGCGATACCTTCCGGGCCAGGTACACAGAGGCACTACGCTCGAATACGGATCTCGAAGGACTCGACGCCATAGGCGCAATAGCCCCCCTTTTCACTCGTTATCGCCGCTAAAGTAATACTAGACCTTGCCGGTGTCGACTCGACCGTCACCTTCGTTGTGTACTTTTTTTCCTGTCTTCTTCTTTATCACTCCTATTCCCCTGTTGGGAACCCTTTCCGGACTGCTCGCAACACGGCTACTTGCATTGCAGCATTTGTCCCACGATAATAGTTCGCTGTTCGCCACCCTGCATTTCCCTAGAACCTCCGACTGGGACCTCTTAATTCAACCTACCTGTATTTGCCATCTTGTGGTAGCTCCAACAGCCCTTGGCTAGGTGCTGCCATATCCGTCAGTGTTCGTGGTCTTACTACATCTCGTGACTATCGGCACCCGACTCCGACCCTCACCGTCGTCCGCTGCTGTGTTCAACCGCCAGCTCATGAACATCTACCCACTGCTGCGTCTCTGTGGCTGCTGATCTTCTCCTCGGAAACCACCCGCCGCGCCTCAAGCATCCAAGCCAGCCCCCGCGCTCGATTACACAACACACTCACACTCACATTCACACTCAGTCACTCAGTCACTTACCTCACCGGTGATTTCAACCAACTCATTCTGTCGGCGCCTGCGCACCCTTCTTGAACTCGTCCAAAGCAAAGCAACCTTTTCAACCCAATCCAGCAACTTTGCCACTCAATTCGGTCTTGGCACAGATCGCCAAAGTCTGAACTGTGCACCTGCAAGCATCCCGTTGTTCGTCTGGAGGCCAGACAATACCAAGACCGAAACGAGGCTTGGAGTAAGACGCCTCTCGTCTCTCGATTTGGGTAGACCTTTCGGCCTTGCCATCACTTGACGGACAAGACCCCATTTCTGCCAAACAAATCCCCACCAAAAAAAACCGTTGAACTTCTGGACGAAAAGTTTCAACACCACCTGGATCCCGTCCCGGCGACTTTACCCCTTTTCTCTCATCGGCCACCCCAAACGGCATGCACACGCAACCATGGACTCGGACCCGCTAAGACATCTCGAGTTCTTCTCGATGCCCAATAACCAGGTATGACTTTATGAGCACACACAAGACACTTTGCTCATCACTCCTTCTGGACCTGACCTGGTGGGCCCTTGGCTCTCTCTTGCTGACACATGGATTCAGACGGTCAACCCGGTCGACCAGCCATTCATGACCAGCACCTCGGCTCAGGCACCACCAATATGGAACACCACCGGTATGGGCCTGGATGGTGGCATTTCTATGTCACCTTCCACAGCACCAACCCCTCCGTCACTGGATTCCATCGCCCAGCCCTCCTCGCTCACCGGCTTCAACAGTATCCCGCCAGGCATTTCTTCCGCATCCCAAGCTTCAACCCACAGCAGGCAGCCGCGGCCAGTATTGCCAGCACGAGGCGTGCGGAGGGACGCCCACGAGCGGAAACGGTCAAGGCTCAGTATGGACGCAACGCCGCTAGATTCTGTGGATTACTGGCTGGATTTCGACAAGGATGAGGGGCTGGCCAGTATTCCCGAGGGCGTTGAGGCTTCTAGACGTGAGGGAGAACTAAGACCACCTGTAAAGCGGAGGTGAGTGTCGGTTGGATGGGCGCAATAGCAGGCAGGGTACAGTGACTGACACGAATAGTTCCAGAAACACTGCGCATGCGGGGGGTAGGCTAAAACACGAGGAGATGATGGACGACAGCGCGTTGGACAATGCTCTCTCGGATGACGACGACGACGATGACGGGTTTTCTTCGATTAATCTTGCCGACCACATGTCCATGATCGAATCTGCGCCACCACCCGAGGTTCCGCCGCGGGAAGGGCTCTACTCGACGCCGCTTAGCTGGGAACGACCGCAGCCGGGCCTGCGCATGGACTCTTTGATTGGTCTTAACAATCAGGCTTTGAACGAGGCGGAGCAGAGGAGGCTAATAGCGATTGCCATGAATCCGGGGTCGAGTATGGGAGGGTTAGGGTCGAATCTGAACTTGAATTTTACGGGATTGAACCCGGGGATGAGCACACCTTTTACGGCAGGGGGTTCGGGCAGTGGAAGTATGGGAATGGGAATGGGCATGGGGACGGGAATGGGGATGGGAATGGGGATGGGTGGCGGTATGGGTGGCCCAAAACCAGTGTCACCGCCCCATTCGACGACACCTCACCCGAAACCGGGATCTTTGCACCAGCCAAAACGACAGGGCAGTGTCAGTGACAGCAAGGCCAAGGAGAAGGTCAAGGCGGCAGGAGGGGACCGGACGGCGCATAACGATATCGAGAGGAAATACCGGACGAATTTGAAGGATAAGATCTCGGAGTTGAGAGATGCTGTTCCATCGCTGAGGACGATACCTGAAAATGAGGAAGGGGAGGACCCGAATCAGCCGTCGAGGGCGCCTAAAGTCAGCAAGGTGGGTTTAATATCGACCATGATCAAGCTCCTACCAATAAAACTAACCAATACTGCTTGTAGGGTGCGGTCCTGACTAAAGCAACCGAGTACATACACTGGCTCGAGCGTCGAAACAAGCAGATCGTGCAGGAACACCGCGAGCTCTCGAGACGGTTGCAGGCCTTTGAACAACTTTTGAACGCGACGGCAAGACCGCAGTACATGATGCCGACGTATAGTAGGACGCTTTTCGATCCGAGAGGGTTCTGTTGACATACAAAAACTATCACCACCAACATCATCACCAATCAAGCTTTCTTCTATTTCTTCAAGAAACACATTTCTTGTATATACCACTTTTTTTTATTCTTTTGTTATTTAATTCCTACTCCCATCAAAAAATTGGCGGCAAAGCGGCTTTCTTTCGTCATCTGTGTGTTTGTTGATTGAAAGGGATGTGGCGTTTTGGGGTGGGAGCATTTACATTTTTTTGGAGGGTTCATTTTGGAAGCATGCTTAAAAATAGGGGTTAGGGGGTTGGATGGGTTGAGAAAATTACATGTTGATGTTGGGGTTTTTGGGTCGGTTTTCTTTTGGGTTGGACAGGCCAGGTCTTATGCTCGGGCTATCATTGTCTTGGGAACTTGGGTCCCATTTTCATGATACCGATGATAGTTTACTTGGGATGAATCGCCATGAAGAGAATGGAGAATCGTATCTCACATTGGTTTCTTGGTGTCGTTGAGTCGAGTGGTATGAAAATTGTGTATGTATGCCTTGTTACTGACGGCTCATGATCGGCAATAGCAAGAGATTAATAGCAGTAATTGGCAAACCGTCAAACTAGGCAGAGCAAGTAAAAGGGGGAGGTACTTTCTCTGGCTCTGGTGGAACAGCACCTTAACTTAGAATATCTACCCATGAATCAAATGTTAATATCAAACATGGCCTCTTTGTTTCTACAGCTTAATGTATGTGTCACCTTGCTTTTATTTACCCCCTTTTACATACCCTCATCACCTATCGTACAACAACTACACCACCCTACCTCAGCGCTTCAATATCCTCCACCTCCTTAACCGCCTCGGTCGTCAGCACATGCGGCCCCTCCTCATCCACCGCAACGCTATCCTCAATCCTGACCGCCAACCCCCTAAAATGCTTGGGAAACCTCTCATCATCCGGTACATAAACCCCCGGCTCCACCGTCACGCAGTGTCCCTTCTTCAACGCCACCGACCGTCCATACCCGGGAACATCATGAACATCCAACCCGACATAATGCCCGACATGATGAGGAAACAGCACATCCATCAGATCCTCCCCTCCCTGCCCCGTCCACCTCTTCGTCCCCGCTGTCAACCCCTCAAACCCCAACAACGCCAGCTGCTCCCTCAACCCATTCTCCGCCGCGCGGTGAATCTCATCCAGACTAACCCCCGCGTTCTCCCTGCACAGCGCCACGCACTGCCTCTGAACGGTAAGCACAGCATTGTAGAGGTCTTTTTGAGCAGGGGAGAATTTTCCAGACACCGGCCAGGTCCGCGTGATGTCAGTGACGTAGTATCCGTACTCACCCCCCGCATCGACCAGCACGGTGGAGTTGGCGGGCAGGTCGGACGTGTTATGCACGTAGTGGATCATGCAACCTCTGCTTGCGCCAGCAACAACAGGGACATAGGCTGGCCCGCTGAGGCCGTGCTGCGTGAAGCCGTAGTCGAGGTAGGCGTGGAGGTCTTTTTCTAGGGTCCAGGGGCGGCGCATGGCCGAGGTGATCACCCTGCCCGAGACCTGGCCGGCGTGGCGCATGGCGGCGACTTCGGCGGGGGATTTTATCGCGCGGAGGGTGTTGACTAGGGTTTTTAAGGGGGAGGTGGGCAGGGAGAGGGATTTGAGGAGGGGCCCGATGTTGGAGGGGGTGGTGAGCGAGGGGGGGATGTCGGTGAAGATTTTGGAGGCGCCGCGGAGGAGGGAGGGGAGGGTGGTGGAGGCGCGGGAGATGTCGTAGCTGTTGTCTGCGTTGAAGACGTCTTCTGCTGCCGAGAGGCCGGACCAGGGGCCGGACCATTGTTCTGCGCGGGGGTCTTTGGGGCGGCAGAAGAGGGAAAACAGATAGTCCTCGGGGCCGGGGCCGGTTTTGCGGATTACGGCGAGGGATTCGGGCTCGAGGAAGCCGGTGAGGTAGAGGAAGTTGGAGTCTTGACGGTAGGGGTAGAAAACGGCGCCGGAGCGGTATTTGAGGTCGGCGGCGGCGAGGAGAGCCACGCCGTCGGGGGGGAGGGAGAGGGCTAGGCGGGAGCGGCGGGAGGCGTATTCGCGGGCGGTGATGCCTTGGGTTACTGTGAGAAAAAAGTTAGTGTATATGTTTGTGAGCGTGTGAGGTTGGTTACATACTTTCGCCTGGTTTGAGAATGTGAGGGTGTGTCTCATAGACGGGTTGGCCGAATTCTAGATCGGCTGCTGAGACTGAGGTGGCATAGTTGCGAAAAGGTTTTAATCTTGCACCGGTAAGGGTGAGTGATTGTTGGAATGGTCGGTATATTTGCTGTCTATTTGGGGATGAAACCAGACTCAGTTGCCGTAAGGCAGCTCTGCCTCTTGATAATCTCATGATGTCTCTTTTTTTTTAGTGGTCTTGTGAGCTTTGGTGGATGAGATGAGGCTTTGATAGGCGAGAGAGAATTTAGTACATCTCAGCAAAATGCAATCCACACAAAGAACGTGGGCAAATCTCAAAATTCCACACCCAATGCCTTCTCACAACACGCTATTCCTCGCAACTCAAGAAATTCTCAAGAGTATCTCACAGCCCAGATAGGAAAGCTGGATCTTGAACAATGTCGTCAGATGGGCTGTGCCAAGCTTGAAGATGTCGAGGTTGGCAGTGCCGACAAGTGGCAGTGGATATGCAACTGGGGGGCGTTGCCGTGCGCGACAGAGGGGGGCAGTTGGCAGCCGCGTCGGTGGACCCAAGTTTGTTGTGCTGAACTCAAAGTGGGCTTAGTCGCGGGAAAAAGCTTGGACACTGATGTTGACTTGCCGCTGCTTTTGAGATTGCGCGACCTTTTCCACACACACCGAGAAACGCCCCAGTTGCCGACACACCTTCACTTTGATAGACCTTGGTTTGAAGACTGCTGCCGGGCAATCTTTGAGCCATTGAAGGTCTGTGGTGTTTCCTCATCCATCCCTCCAGCTCCAGGGCTTCTCTCAAGTCCTCAACTCCCAACGCGTCGCCATTTTCCGGCTCCATCAGTCGACGCGTCCATTTTTGGTGTGCACGCACGTCCACACTCCAGCCCGCGTTGGACGGTCGTTGCTGCCAGCACCCAGCCCCTCCACATCCGACTCGCACTCTCGCACAAGACCGCGACCACGACCGCCCTTTTCCTTCCCATACCTCACTCAACATCAGACAGACTGCCCCTTAGCATGTTGAGTGGGCTTTCGTATGGCCGCAGTATCTCTATCGCCCGCCCCCTTCCACCAGCTCTCTGCCATGTCGACCGCCAGGAGAGTTCCTCTTTCGAATAATCCCAATGTCGCCAATTCGCCTATGCGTACCTCGGCCGCCCTCAATGGTGCCAAAAAGGTTCGCTCCCATGCTGAGCTCCTTAGGGAGGAGCCTTATGGCCAACCTCCACCAGCAAAGCGCCAGATGATCGAGCGCGGTGTCGCATCCCCCAGCCGAACGAAACCATCCCGAACTATCGTACACAGAGGAACCACCACCCGCGCTGCTGTCACCACCTCGCAAAAGACTTCACAGGGAGCCGTTGAAAAGGCTTCTCAATTAGAGCTCGCCGAGTGGAGGGCCACCTACAGCGCTCGCTTCCCGACCTGGGTCTTTTACTTTGAGAGTGTTCCTGATGAGCAGCGGTCCAGATTGGCCAAGCGGGTCAATAACCTTGGTGCTGTAAGTGATGGTGTTTGAGACTCGGATCAGTTGAGCCTGAGAGACTAACGTGCCACTTGGAACAGCGCGAGGAAAAGTTCTTCTCGATCGATGTGACTCACGTTATCACCACCCGGCCGATCCCCCGTGCCGAAAAAAACTCGGCCCACGATCAGGAAAATGCCGCCGAATCCCATGGCTCCGAGCAGCCAAAGACGATAGACCCATCCCTGTTAAATCGTGTTGCGGAGGCACCTCCTGTGAGGAGGAAGCTTGTGTTTGATACGAGTCGGAGGATGCCAGTCCCAGGGCAGGATGCCAAACCACAAAAGTCACGCAGCACAGACATCTTGCTCCGCGCTCAGGACATGAAAATGAAGTTATGGTCGGTCGACAAGCTCACGAGATTTCTTGAAGCATTGGAGGCGGAGCCGCACAAGAGCACCAACCATGGCCGCACAGGGACCGGCAAGACGACGGATCGATCTAACCTTCGTCATCTTCTTCAGCAGGAGCGGGTACATGGCCCGTCAGATCGTGATCCGACGGTTGCTACCAAGGAGATGCATCACTTCAAGGGCCCGTATATCTACATTTACGATATGGAAGAGAAGACGAAACCGGTCATGGCCCGCGAATATGCCAAGGTTGCCGATAAGAAGGATGGAGAGTGGCCGCAGTTCCGTGTAGCTTCTGCTGGCCGGTGCCCATTTGTGCAGGATTATGAAATCCCAGAAAAAGAGAACCGCGAAAAGACGAAAACAAAGGAGCGCGCCGCCAAGGCAGCTGCCGCCGAAAATGCTGCCAAACTTCAGCCTCCAGAAGTGCCAGCACCCAAGCCCGCTACAGGAAAGCGGACTCTCGCCGTGATGGAAGACGGGCAAAACAGAGGCACCCCGCCAGTCGCCGCGGCTGATGCGTTGGATCGATCTAGGGTTTCCAACCCTCCCCAGATGGAGTTCCGTACCCAGAACGCCTTTATGAGCCATGCAAAGGCAGGCCGTCTCCTTGCTGGCGAGCCCGTTGCGTCTGGTCTCCAGCAATCCGCCGTAACATCGGCCATCCGCTCCCAGATGATCTCCTCCACTAGTGGTGTGCTAGGTGCCAAGGCGGGCACCAGTAAGGAGATCCACGGGTTGCAACGTAAGGTTCTGGCGAAGGCCGGTCCCCCTGCTGTGTCCCAGGACTTGAGCTCGCGCCGCATGGCTGAGATGAGCCACGATAGCACCACGTTTGTCCGGTCTGCGAGTGCTAGCAGAGCTACACACCGCAAGCTCGAAACTGTCGATGAAGAGGAGGCGGCGAAACAGAGAGAGAAGCTGCGTAGAACCGTCAGTTTGCCCGTTGCACAAAGACAGAAGCGTGATCCCAAGCCAGGGTATTGCGAGAACTGCATGGATAAGTTTGATGATTTTGACGAGGTAAATATTTTATTATGATGTTGTTTTGCTGTGAAGCAATGCTGACGCAACCTAGCATATTCTTACCCGCAAGCATCGCAAGTTTGCAGAAAATGACGACAACTGGGTTCAGCTCGATGCCCTCCTCGCACTTCTCAAACGCCGTCCCCGTCACAGACACGAAGTTGACAACGACGAGTGGTAATTTGGTTCACACTCCCATTTCGTTCCGCGCTCCTCCTCCGCGTGATACCCATTTCTGTCTCGATCCTCTTCTTCGCATATGGCACATCTTGGGCCTTTCTTTATGGGTCTTGGGTTGGGTTTCTCTTATCTCCTTTCTTTCGACGGGCTTGTGATCGACGACTCTAGCATTTGCATGGGGCGCGCTGTCTGTCTCATCCGCAAGAGACACCATTGGTAGGAGGCAACAATAACGTTACGAGCATATCTTTCAAGAGGTGGGGTGGGGGGGTATAGCAAGCCAGGGTGGGAAGGAGTGAGCGGGTGTTATGTGGAATTTTTTTGGCTTGTGATGTTTGACTTATCTGTAGTTGGTGTTTGGGTTGGTTGGCTGTCCCCCCTTTTTTTCGTTTTTTTGTTATCCAACTGGTCAATTTGGTTTGATCGGTTCGCGCGGTTCGTGTCCAGCAGTTGACGGGACAGAAAAGGGGGCAATCATTATCACGGGAAGGGGAGAGGGGCGCATGAGACCAGATGACGGGATTACTAGGCAGGCCTTTTGCTCTGCTCATTGGGCTTGGCTTGCCGGTTGTTGGATGTATTGGGAATGAGCTTGCCCATTGTTGTTGAGCGGACAAACCAAAAAGGCAGAGGGATAGGACGGTGACGGAATAGTAAGGAAGCCAGATGATGCTGTCGATTGATGATGGGTTGACAGCGAGGAGACGAGAAAGACTTTTGGAGGCTGCGGTGGTTGCGCGGCTTGGAAAAAGGAGGTCTCGTCGAAGATGGGTTCCGCAACTTACTATCTATATATTATGCTTTGGGCATGTGTATAACTGTATGCTAGGATTATGACAAGGAATTAAAGGGATTACTGTATGTTTGGATCGTCTGAGTGCTTGGTGTGATGTGTTGGAGGTTGCGCCACGTTGTCTTGAATCTTTCCAACTCTGAGGTAGGCATCCCTTTAGATTCAAGCTATGCCATCATAGTCTAGAGACAGGCCCGAGGTCAACCAACGTTCAGTATCAACCGTCGTGTTTCGTCATCCCAAGATAGGTAGTTCACTGCATTTTGTGATACCCGTCTTCGGCGGTTGGGAAAATGGGTTGCCCCTTACAAGTGTCATCTAGTTGCGGTAGTTGGAAAAGTCTTTTCCACAATAAAATGATTCACCATGAAGTCTGCCGTTTTGTCCATCCAGCATGCCTTGGTTCTAGCCATCGATAGAGAACAGCATAGCAAGGTAGGATTGATCATCTTGTTCTCCAAAGCCCCTGGGCTTCCCATTCGATGCTCTTTCAGCTTCCTCCTGCTTCTTGGCTATGGAGTAGGTAAGAGTGATGCATCACCTCCCTCTTCCCGGTCGGTCCAGGTTTATGGCGTTGCTGAACGCAAAAGTAAAAGTTTTTCACTGATGTAAAAACAAAAATGGAGAGAGAGAGAGAAAAAAAAAAAAAAGGCTGATGTGAGGCAGAATTGGCAAAAGATATTGGGCGACCCCGGAATCGAACCGGGGTTTCTTCGGATCGTATGTGATGTTCTTGCGAACAACCACAACGAAGCGTCCTGACCACTAGACTAGTCACCCGGTGAGGTAATACTGGTTGATGGTGGGGATGGTAGAAGATGGGCATATGTAAGGGTCTGGCTAGGAGCAGGCGCATTTTTTCCCTGAAGATAGGCAGCTAGCCACATCTGGGAATAAGGCTCCACAAATGACCTTTAAACTCTCACAAAAGTCTTTAAGCATTACTATAGCCGCAAAACGTGGATAAAAACAGGTGTGTATCATGCAATCTATCCCTTTTCCACATTTCTTTATATTTTATTACTTACTTATGCGCTTTAAAGTAGATAGCTAATGGTAAAAGTTGTGGTAAGAGTTGTGGTAAGAGTTGTGGTAAGAGTTGTGGTAAGAGTTGTGGTGAGGGTTGTAGTGAGGGTTGTAATAAAATAAAGGTGGTGGTGAGGATGGTAGTGAGGGTGGTAGTATAAAGGTTATTAGTAGATGCCTTATGTTTAAAATTATAATTTGAATAAGCTTGCATTTCTGAGGCTAGCTTTTACAGTGTTTTTAGTTGATTTGATATTCGAGAGCTTTTGCAAAAAAGCCTTCTATAGCTAGTTAGCGTGCCTGTCTTCAGGAAACAATAATGCCTGCTCCTAGCCAGGCCCTATATGTAAGGTAAAGTTGTGTGTGTGTAGGTTGAGTGGGGTTCGGGGTTGAAAGTTGGGTGTGGGGTAGGGTTAGTGTGGTGATGCAAAGTTAACGCCTCTTTATCTGCAAAAAAACATTTGACTAGTTGAATGTAATAAAAGGACTTGAGGCCTCAAAAAAACTTGTAAGAATAATTGCAACTTGGAGGGGTTGTTAGCATAGTGTTGTGGTGATAGGAGATGTGCTCTTCCAGGTGGCTTCCGAAGTCGACTAGGTAGGTTTGCATATGAGAACTCAAGATTGTTTGGCTGACTAAAAGAAAATCAAGGATAAACTTTGGATGGGTCCGTCCATGGTAAAATTAAGATATGAAACAATCTGCCTGTTGTTTGCTGCCGTCTTTCTTAAAGCTTGTGGACATAGTGACTGACTTAAAGGCCGGCAAGCCCACAGCGGTGGCAGTGGCTACGGCAAGGAACACTGAGAACTTCTAAGTGGGAACTCATTACAAAAAATAAAAGAGTAGTAAATATGATAGAGAATAATGATAAACAGATCTGTTGTACATTCACTAGTAATTTAGGTACACCCGTAAAGTTGGTGTGCTTTGCTTTTAAAGCGATTCACCACTCACCACCTCCCACACTCCACAACTACTTTAACCCCTTCCCACCCCTGATTCCCTTGTTTATTTTGCTCTCTCCCCTCAGTTGCCACAGCAAGCCTCACCAACCAATCCCAACCTCCCCCCTCCCACCAAGCCTGGTACCCACCTAAATAATTCCTTGCTCTGACCTGTCTACTTCTCTGACACTTCCTTATCCCGACCTGTCATGTCCTCACAATGTAAAACCGGACAGAAGCAACACCCATCAGCAGATCCCCCATCCCCAACAGCACAATGATGCCGTGTGACAATTTCTCCCTTTCAAGATCGGCACTTCCCACACTTGGCCCAAACCTGGTTCCGGCAGGCTGAATACCAAGGAAGATGCCCTAGTCACCGGGGACACAGCCAGTCATGATGACGACGGGACTAGACAAGAAATTGGGGGTCACCGGACCTGCAGAAATGGTTACGAGCTTATTCTCTTCAGGGGCCTGTTTTCTGGGAGGTACTTGGAGAGACTTGTCGGCTACGGTAGGTACCTGGGCAGTACTAGATGTAAGTAGTGCGGTCGTCCCACGCAAGGCTGAGGGAAGTTGTCGTCCCAACAAATGAGCTCAACTACGCTCTCGATGTAAATAGGTAGTGTGTACATCCAACCTACTACAAAGTGATGATGAAAGCCATCATCGGCGATTGACTCCCAAACCCCCTTGTCTGATGAGGTGATCATCATTCTCACCGGTGAAGAAAACTTGCTTCCCCCTTCTGCACACTCCCATGTGTGATTAGATTGACAGGAGCCCGCACCGCAGCCTCATGATAATTCTGACAATGGGTATCTCATAGCTAAATGTCAATGTCAAGTCCATATCCCTGTCCCATACCCGGCCCTTTCTGCATTCTTGCCCGACGAGAATATTTCGAAAAAAAAATAAGCACCAACCCACGCCCCATGACGTCGGCTCCCGTCGGGCATTCCTGTCGTGACCGTGGGGGCGGTTGTCCTAGTAGCACTTCCTTGTCTGAAAACATCTGAGATTAAAAGAGTAGCAAAAAAAGACCAACTTCCTCATTAGGAATATCCCACAGACTGACTGCCTTGTCTTGCTTACCCCTGAGTAAGAAAAGCGGCTACGCAAGGGGGGGTTAAAAAAAGAAAAAGTCTAGATGCCGATGTTCACTTGCATGATGCACTCTTTCACAAAAGAAAAGAAAAAAAAGAAATTCACGTTTGCCGCCGCCGCCAGTCTCAACTTTGACGGCGGCGTTGATGAATGAATGTGCTGTAAGAAAACCCCCCACACTCTGCCCAGAGAAAATTGCCGCCCGATGCCGGTGGGCAACAAACCCGTCATTCACAGGGGTCCGGAAGACTCAGGTCCAGCCCGGGCCTGCCGTGTCCTGTCATCAAAATTTTTCTTCCTTCTCGCTCTACAGTGCAAATAACTTTTCCCTCTGACCCGTAAATATTGAAAATAGGATCGGGTATTACCTAACCATTCCCCGTCATCAAATATCCCCGGCCGTCATCGCGTTAATCTTAGTCATTACCCGTCAAACTTGCGGAGGGGAAAAGGTGGGTACACTTTCGGCCCCGATTCAGCGGAGCCCCCGAGTTTATTGTCTATCCACATTCCGTGCGAAACCCGAAGCTTTTGTCAACGTCAGCCGGCCTGTGGGACATTAGACGCCGAAGCGGGGCGCGGTGGGATATAGTACATAGACAAAGCGGGGAGCAGTTGTTTGTGACAAATTGCCTGCCGGTGGAAAGAAATTACCGTATAAACTCGAGAAATACATATTTTCTCCTCAGCCAAACCTGCTTTTATATATGGGACCTATATCAACCGAGGTAATTGAACTGCTTTCCGGACTTTTTATAGTTACGCATCAGTAAAAGTTCAGCTAGTTACGCTGAAAACTCTATAAATACTAGCTGTAAGTAAACCTATAAGTAAAAAAATAAATAAACTAGACTTATTTTTTTTAAAAATATATAAAGCTACTAATAAATGCTTAAAAATAAGTTTTATATTTAATAATATTAAATAATCTATAAATTATAAATTAATGTAACTAGCAAAATAATTTTTATTATATCTGTTAATGTGTGGGTACTACTAAGTGCCATATTTACTGCTCTACAAATTAATATTACAGTGGGCAGCACTGCTATAAGCAGTAGTGGAACTTCTCAGCTTGGATCCCTTTCGAATATTCTTTACAAGGGACCTTTGAAGGCTTACAG